TGTGTGTGTGTGTGTGTGGCCTTGCCTTCAGAAGTCTAAAGAAAATGGGTGATAGATGCTGTGTGATACAATGGATGCCTAAATGAAAGAGCAGTTGTTCTGAGAATGTATGCATATGAGCAAAAATGGGTCTAGTAGTGAGAGCCAGGGCAAGTATACAAATGATGTATCACCACACAAATGGGTTCTTTCACAGAGCGTTCGCTTGAAGCTAATGTGCACACATGGAAAGACATAATAATGTAAACATATGCATATGCACAGTCCCTCATATGCTCACCTGCACACACATACGGCTCAGTAGACCTCCAGGTGTCCGTTACTGCCAGTTAAACTCCCCTTCATTCATATGACCCCCCCAACATTTTCCCACAGAGTCTCATACCCCATTTCCCCCTGGCCACGGGCATCTTTCACCACCCATATTAACACACAGCTTCCTCCTGGCAACGCGGTGCCAGACCCCTGCCATTCCCCTAACTTTGCCAACCCGTCTCCATGGCAGCGTGATTGGCAGGTGCTGAGATGGATGCTCATTTGAGCCAATAGCAGATCAGAGTGGGGTTGTCATGCCCCGTGAGACCCTGCACTGGCCCAGCTGAGGATGGTGTTGAGAAGGGAATGCAACACAACAGGCGCACACAAACGCACACACTCATAGCATGGGCTCGTTCAGCGGCACAAAGCGTATGGGGTCCCTGCTCGGGCTGTCAGTTCTGTTGTGATGTATCATTTATGTCGCCATTGTGCAGCCCTTTCATGAAACATGTTGACAGAAGCATTATTCTGGCTTTTGACAGATTCCCATACATTCACCGGCTTTTAATAACACATGTTAATGCTCCGATAGGTTTATGACAGGTTTTTAGAATTACCAAATGAAATATGAGCCCTAAATGTGCCTCCTCTCGAAATAATCTTGGGAGGTATATGTTGGATTTCTAAGTCTGAGATGGAGAATGTTCAATGCTTATGAGGCTATTATCAGTCTGAGTGTGCACATAGTAACTACACACACACACACACACACACAACAGGCTTGGAGGACGAAGATCACAACATTAATCTGCGCTCTTTAAATGAGACACACATTTCTATGGTCAATCAAAGAGAATACAAAGAGCATATATTTATTTATTTATATCAATTTAATTTTTAATTATTGAACATAAATCCATTATTACAATTGGATCACTTTACTAGAAAATGTTTTGTGGGACAAAAAAAAAAGGCATCCAGATCCCCTTCAACCTTTTGGATTGATGCCTTTTCAATCCGGTGCTGCCTGTCAATCACATCTCTCGCAGGACGTTTATCTTGAATGCATCAAAATCATTTAAAAGAATGCACTCGAATCATAGACACACAACCGCACCCGTTGTTCTGTTGCTCTCCAAGCCAGACTTTTCTGAAGGACAATTGGGGAACGACTGCCAAATCCAGTGGCTGTTTGGTACTGACCAGATGTCAAACGGTGTGTATAAACTCTGAATGATCCTCGCTAATGTGTACATCAATTTGAATGGTGCCTCTCGAATCGTCGCAACTCTGCCACCAAACCTAACCATCAGCTCTAGTGCCAGTTAGACCGGCTCCTGCTGGTCCTACAGTGTGAAATCACTGACAGGCTGAGCCACCGATTGCCCATCTGCTCCATCGGGGAGAATTCTCACTCCATCTATTTGACTTGTTCGGAGCTCGGCTGTTGAAAAGCTCATTAGCTTTGCAAAGTGAGATATAAAGATGGATACAAAATGCTGTGTCCAAATGAAGAGATGTTAAAGAGTGCATGGACAGATGTGAGTTGAAGTGTTTACAGATTTCGATGAAGAAAAACCAGACGAAGGGGTAAAAATGTGGAGGTCTATGTTACTGGAGACATGTGTGGAATGAATATGAATGCATAAGAGGCAACAACTTCCCACTTCCCTTTTTACGAGGCGCTTAACACATTCACTACCATTACCAGCAGAGATTAATGTTGGACGACAGCCCCACAACCAACACGTTACCCATTAAATCCTGACGTGCATTTGACCGTGGACGTGTGGTTGCAACGATCCCAAAAGCCCCCCTCCCCGCAGCAGCTTATTGAATCAGAAGTGGCCTCTGCTGATACTTCTGCAACGTGCAGCATGGCTGAGTTTGTACTGTAGCTACAACTTCCCTTTTTGTCGGCTCATTAGGTGAGTTCGGTATGCGGCTGATTGTTTGCTTGCGACTCCCAACGTGGAGAACGAACCATCACAGCTGGTGAGGCATGAAGTGTGCCCATTAAAATAAACTCTTCTTCATATCAATCAGCCTAATTATTGTGTGTTTAGCCTGAGTTTAAAACATAATTCAGAGGTCGCAAACAATAAAAGATCAAGGAAGAAACAGTGTGTAAGGAAACCAGTCGGGTTTGTCATATATATTCTTTTTCACAATGACAAAATGTCTTTTATTTCTTCGCTCATCTCCCTGTACAGAACCAGGAACGTACCGAGACTTGTCTCTTTTTCTTCCCAGGTTCACTCCATCTTGTTGCCCCACTGGATTTGGGATTTGGATCTTGTTGAATAATAGTAATATATTTTTTCTCTCTCTCTCCCTCTCTCTCTTTCCTCCTCTCTCCACACCCGGACATGAAAAGGAATCGTTTCGTTATTTGCATTTTTACGCCTGAGTGTATTTTTCAAGTGGGAATAGAAACTCTGTGAGCGGTGTCGATTCCCAGCGCTGCTGTGTCCTGGAGTGCATCAGTCTGCCTTTTCATCTTCACCCTAGCCTGACTGCTTTCTGCTTCTCTTTAGCCATATCCTCAGTTCCCCCTTCTATTCCTCTCACCGTGTCTGCTGCTTTTTTCAATATTTTCCCACAGTGTTACGCTAATTTCCTTTGTTCCCAACATTGGACTGTGTGTTTGGTCTCACTTCATCCAGCATTAGTTAATTTTCCTTTTCACTGTGAATTACAGTTGTATTCAGTATGAGTATTTCATCACTATAAATGAAAAAACCCTCCACTTCGGTTGTTGTTGGTGTCCGTTCTCTTTAACTTGATGATGTCATCGCCAAATTCCTTTTAAAGGAGTTTAACCGTCCACCACATTTTTTTGTCTTCACAACTTTTCCATTGTGCCAAGAGCTAAGCTTGTATAGTGCACATCTGTAGGCATTCTCAAATTGCACCATGGCAATGGGGTAAGAAGTATTCACAGTGCTGCTCCTTCCCTTCATCTGCCACAAAACTGGACATTTGATTCCAAACCTGTTGTGTTGAGATCCTTGGTTTTGCGACAGTAAACAGCAAGCTCATAACAGGACGGAAATGTTCTATAAAATGGCCTTTGTTGTGTCAGATGGAAAGAGAAAGAAGTTTAGCACATTGCTGGACTGAGGGCTGTCTATGAACAGCCCAGAAGCAATTTTTGCTTCTCTGTATGTCGGCGGTAAAGATCGGGTGCTGAGGAGATCTTGCCCGGGAAAACAGCGTCGCCCCAGACAGTTATGTATGTTTATGCGTGTGTCCCAGCGTGAGTGTGTATGTGTTTGCCGAAGAGTAAATGTTGGTCATTACACAGGAGAAGTTGTGGCAGAGAGGTGATTGGAGAACAGCAGTTCTATTAGTGGGCGATTACATCTCGGCCCGTTGCTACACACCAGCAGCTCCTCGGCGACGCGAAGGGCTGCTTCACTCGACACCTCGTAAATCTGACGCATGCGGCACGCACTCACACCTTAATGATGCCGTATGTTTTTTTGTCACGTGAGCCCTTTTAAATCCTGTAGCTTTGATGAACTCTAGTTAAAGAGTTTTATGTGTGTCACTATGATGAGAACAAGAAAACCTGTGGGAAGCCCGGTGGGTAAACAGATAAATACGTGGTGCTCCATTTAAAATCTAGCTTGTTTTTTCGTTATTTTGTCTCGACAGCGATGGTAACTTGTTTTTTGCGCCCCGTGGCGCACACATACAAACATCAACATAGATTTCATGCAAATGGTACAAACGGCCACACACACAGAGATACACACAAACAGCTGGCAGAGATAAAGAGAAACATTTATAGTGCTGTCAACATTGTGTTTAATAATGGGACAATCTGTGGGGTCAAATTTATTACTGTCAGAAAATGGGCGGAATTATTTATCTTTAAATAATTACTTTTATACCACACACACACACAGTATTCACATATTGATTTGCATATTGATTAAGTGGATATTAAAGCTCCGATGATATTAATCATTGCTGATTAGGTTTTCAGTGAGCTGGATGATGATTGAGGAGATGAGAGTATTGTGTTTGCGGGTCATATAGAGCCGAGGTGGGCCGCCGCAGAGCTGCAACTCGCTGCAACTCCGTGCATAGAAGGGACGTCACACACATTTTTAAACTGGCTGTGTGTGTGTTTCCTCTATGAGCACTGGACAACATTATGTTGACTTTGTGTTTTAAAAGTCATTAGAAATGCTCAGATTGCTGTCCGGGAGATGCACACTTGTGTAGTGAATTATTTAGCTGTTCTTCATTTCTGTGCGGCGATGGAAGACTCAAGCGGCGTCCTGCCCTCGCCCTCTGTGATATGAAGAAAAGATTATGTGACATGATGTCATTCCGTCGCCGCAATCACAGCCGCACACAGACGGTCATTAGTAAGAGCAGCGCTGTATGGTGTCAGATCACAGGGAGGAAGAAAAGAACGAGAGGGTCAAAAGAACAAGCAAAGCAGAAACGGTGACTGTATTGATTATGATTATGTTTTAAAATCTGTTGAGAATCGGCAATCAAAAAGAAGAAACAATGAATTAAATATTATTATTATTAATTGGTGGCCTTTACATGTGGATTTCTTTCTGAATGAAGGTGATGTTGTTCCTAAAATAATGTCAAATGGATATAATCATAAATGTTTAGGACTAATTGAATTTTTGGATGGCAAAAACATCTCTAATGTTTCCCAGGAAACATTCTTTGCATCTCTTAATACATCTTTGAATTCTTTTGTCCTCCAGGTGTGATGCCAGAGCGCCAGTTTGGTGGAACCCAGTTTGTTTGCAGTGTGGTCGCTTCCCATGTCAGTCACCAGCCGTCCAGCAGCTTCAGCTTCGTCTGGATCGCCCCCCCACCCGGCACCGGCTGTGTCAACTTTCTGTAAGTTGTGTGTGAGTGTATACGTGTTTCAGAGAATGGCTAAGGGGGAATAAGAGTAGTTGAAGTGTGGGCTCGGACCTTAACAGCTACCTTGGTATGACTCATGCATGAAAGTCGTTAACTTTCATATAAATATCCATTATGTTGTGTGTTGTATTGACCCAGTAAGCCTGAGGGTGGTTTATCAGCTGACATCTTGGGCGTTGTTTTCTCTGTCAGAGCCACATACACGATGTGAAGAGGCCGTTGTCTCAGAGAAGGTATGCATAACAACTGGAAGGAGGTTAAACTAGGGCCAGAGATAGTGTGTGCGTGGGTGTGTGTTTGTGTGATAGTACTGTACCTCGGTTGACACGGCCTGTGTAGTGGTAGGTGTGTATGTGTGTGTGTTTAATATCCGTAACCTCTCCATCAATGAGCTTTGCCTGTCTTCCCATTGGAAAATGTGTGAGTGATTAAACAGATCCACCCATTCCCCGAGGATGGGTGTAACAAGGACACAAACAGATTCATGATGCTCTTCTTCTGTGGCATTGCACGTATGCAATATTGAGAAGAAATGCCTTCTGCTACCGCCTTAAAGGAGCAGTGTGCAGGAGTTAGTTGTATTTAGTCACAAGCTGCAGATGGCGTTCAACTGAATACACCCCGCCCAATTCAAGAAACCATGGGATCTTATGGTGGGGGGAACAAAAACCAAATCATTCTTAGTTTTAGGGGATTATACATGAATGGAACCATGGATATGAATGTTTTATTACATAAATAGCAAAAATGTTACAAACTGTTTAATCTGGAATTCAAGGCCACCAACAAACCTTTGGGTTGACACTGGTTGGTCAGAAAATACAGCAGTAGTCAGTTTGTGCACATGGCACGCCTGATTAATGCTTGACGCATCTGTCAAGTTAGGAATTTCTTATGACTCCATTTTAGAAAAGAGTCAGATTTTTTTTCAAATTTACGTTTTCTCAACATTGTGTCCCCTCATATGACTATAGTAAGAATTTGATGACTTTTATGCATCCTTTCTTACAATTACTTGAGTGAACCACATGCAGGATCAGGCGACTCCACCCAACACAGTGCCGCCATTGGGTGGAGTCGAACCGGAATAGTCAGACTACGAGGTGACAGTGCTAACAACTACACCTCCGTGTCCCTTCCAACAAAAGCTCTTCAATAGATTCATTCTCTCATAAAAAATCTTTGTTTTACTAATGGCGGTATTGCGCTATGAAACTGGGATTGTGAGACTCCGGAAAGGATGTAGTTAGCGGACCAATCACAGCCTGGCGTTACTTTTGACGCTAGTCTAGAAGAATTGGGCGACGCGCTCAAGAAGGGGTGAAAAGGCGCGCAAGGGGCACCCTGTTCTTGTTCACAGCTCCCATCTCCACCAGTAAGGTTCAGTGGCCCAAAACCGGGAAGAATTTAACTGGAGGGGCCCTCGTGACCAAAGCTGCCATATAATTTAGTATTATTCCTCTTGAGGTTGAGACGTAATCAGAAAACTGTTTAGGAAACTGTTTTATTTCCTGTTCTTCATAGTGTTTTATTTGGCTCACTTAGCAAGTGCAGTTTAGCATCAAATCTTACAATCACTTGAAAAGGCGTTAACATATCAATTTAAAAAGACATCTGTCAGGACCATATGAAATGTAAATAATGCAATGTCTTGTCCTTGCCCGTAGCATTCCCGGCCTGATGGACGGACTATTTTACACAGGCTTGCCCACGAGAGTTTAAATTAAAGTCGTGGACATCCCGTGTCCTTCACAGGGCTGCAGCCGGTCCCCCACTGCATCAATACAGAACCTATGAGCAGTTTTATGGGCAATACAGTGGAAGTGTAACAGATCCCTTGCAGGACTGTGATAGAGTGCAGTGACGTTGGCACCCAGAAGAACTCATTTTCTGGGCGGCTGTAAATTGCCGCCTAAAGAGAAGGGGAGGCCTTGGAGGGGAGGAGGAACAGGGAGGACAAACACACATAGTCCCACACACACACACACACACACACATTATGTAAACAATTCAAACTCAAACTATCCAAACCATAGAAAGTAATCAGCGACGTCTTAGAAACGTATTTGTAATATTCCTGTTCAAACATCTTCTTAAATACACAAACAAGCTGTTTTTCTGTTTCATATCACTGTCAAGTGAAGCTATTGGTCACTGGACAGATGTTACAAAGTTGTCCTAAAAACATGAAACACAAATGAAACACAGGATCTTAAAGGAAGCAGGTAACTGAGCGATCATTACGTTATATCAAACATGAATTGAGACAAGATTATGTTGGATTGTTAGACACTAAAAACACACATGTCAGAAGCACAACACAAAGACAACAATGAAAGAAATGCATTCAGGAAGCTTCATGCATGAAATATGAAACACAAACATGTTGCTTTTAGATGTGTAATAGAAGGGTGCGCATTAGTTAACCCTCGTTCGTATAGAAGCTTGGTGACGGGATCGATGCTTTTCTTGCATACAAAATATAAAGAACTAACTCAAGCTTCAATGATTGGGTAAAGAACAGGGTTGTGCCCCACTTTTTATTCTACTCGCTCAGACATGAAAGTCCACACCACTACACAATCTACTGAATGCGTCTCTGCACTTAGCGGAGGTGAGAATGGTTAATAGCTTCCTCTGGCGAACGCACAGATGCACTGGTGTGTCTCGTCCTTTCTTTGCCTTTATTCTGCTTCACTTGCAGCCTCGAGGCAGTCCGTCAGGAGTGTGTTTGGGCAGATCCACGGGATTTTTTTTGCTTCAGACAGCTGCCTTCAGAGGAACACATCCAACCACTCTGAGCATTGTGCAGATGTCTGGCTTGTGTATGGCTGCTTCCTGGGTGTATTTGTTGATATACACATACAAATCTCCACAATATATCCCTGTGTGTGTTTGTGTGAGATGTGCTTTTGCCGTCGTGTTATTATACTGTTCCCCCGGTGGGACTCAGACAGTTCCCTGCTTGGAGATTGCTTTAATCACTGCGTGTGATTCTCCTTTCCGAGATATTCCCCCGAGGTACATTTTCCCTTAATATCATATTTGTGTTTATGTGCACATTATTATTTAGTAATACAATTACTAGTTGTTCTTTCTCTGCTACCTGTGGGCAACTCAAGCACTCTCCTCTTGTTGGCGTAATTAGAAAGGAGTGATTCCGGTGCTGTAATTATGCCGGCTGTTGTTGTGTTGTTGATATTGCCATCTGTTGAAAGCAGGCAGATGTATGAGAGCATGACGTTTGTGAGATATGGTGTGGCATCGTACGTGTATTCAGTGCTGCATGTGAGCCTGGTTTGGCTTTTGCTGAGCTTGCATTACGCTCAGCCAACTTGACTCCGTTAAGAAGTCGGAGCCCACCAACTAGACATCGTTCAGGGCCATGGGAACGATTCATGTTTATACTCTCACAAAAGCGTGTGTGAGTATGTGTCCTTTTTGCAAACATGCCAGTTCTGTCATTAATAAAGTGATCAATTAAATTATTTGAGTTGACCTTTCCATTTAATGACAATAATCTGTCTTTAAGCTGCAGCAGTCTGTTGGAGAGGGGGATAGACATTAATCAGAGGTCATGGGTCAAAGTTCAGACATTAGGCTGACAGATGACCTATCTCATCCGGCAACTCAATTCTCCTGGTACTAGTCTTCTCCATTGATTTCTTTTTTTCAAGTCAATCTTGTGCTCTGTTTTAACATAAAGTGACTGGTTAATGAGCTTCATGAAAGCTGTGTGACAGAGTCACTGGAGACGTTTGGCCAGGGGGACATGAATGCTTGGTTCAAAGGGATTGCATTGTGGCATTGTAGATATAGAAATATGGGGTAGAAATGTGACAGGGAACATTTAACAGCAAATCGGACCTTTGGTATCTGCTCCACAGATCACAACACAGACTCCTGTTGCTCTTCCACCTTAAGGCCTCATTCACGATACTGTCTTATTTCCCCAGGGACGGACCTTGACCCCTGTAATGAAATACAAACACCTGTGTACACAGAGACACACTGTGTGCACACATACATACATCACTATCACACATCAGGGCTGTGATCAATACCGCCACAAATTGTCTACATCACATCTGTGGTGCACAGACTCATCAGGAGGTCACCGCTCCACCTGCTGGGACACTGACCTCCTTATCAATTTAAGATGAAATGGAGCATAGGGATCGAGAAGAAGGCGCTTGATCGCGAATGCAGGATAATGAAGCATGCTCGGGGCAGAGTCTTCTCCAGATCTATTTATTTGAGCAATCATTTATTTCACATTCTGCGCTCTCTGTTCCCGAAAATGTGTGTGAATTAGACAGATGAATTACGGACGTGACTTGTCATAGGGTTTCATCGCTCTTTTGTTGACTCTGTCCATATGGTATTATTATGGATTATTCCCCTCCCACCCCTCTTGTACTCCACACATGGGTCTACTCTGACCCCGAGTGAGGACGGGACAAAGGCTTTTAAAAAGCCGATTTTCTCAGATATCATTTTTTTTAAAGTTTTGTTGAGGATTAAATAAACAGCAAATCTACTTCAATTGTTTTGTTTTTTTCCATCTCGACATGTTAAGTCTTAATTGTTGTTTTTTTTCCCTCATCCTCTTAATTATTACTCACTAACAGTCACGGTAAATTGCTTTTCTCCCGGCTGTGAACGGAGCAGTAACCACGCTTCTTCTGGCTGTACTTGGAGCCGTAATCTCAATGTCCCCGGTGCGAACAAGCAGGTCATTTGCCAAATAACTCCCAAATCCCTCCTCTGTGGAGATTCATTAAATTTGCATCTTCTCCAAGAGCCTTTTTCAATTAATTAATTTAGGCTTGGAGAGAGGGAGCGAAGTAATGTGATTCCAAGAAGCCGGGCACGCCTTTTCATGCCCTGATTGATGTGAAAATATCAAGGCCGTGTTGAAATCAGAAAACTACTTTACATTTCATCGAAGCTCCTCTGGGGTTTTCTCAAGCAGTGGATTCTTACCTCTGACTCTCATCCCCGTGTTTCCACTTTTCACCATGTTCCCGGTCGCTCCGTTCTTCTACCCGTTGTCCTTGATTGCTGTGCAATAACCACAGCTGGTCCTCAACACGGAAGATAAATCAAACAATTAGGGTGTATTATTTTAAAGGGTCAGGTCCAAATCAGAGCTGGCTACTGGAACCGCACCCCGTCGAAGCGCCTCGTATTAATCATGGTTTCCAACAAGCCCCGTAAATTGCCTTTTAATTGGGATTCGAACAGGATGGGAGACAGTCATCTAAAGAAAGGAAAAGAGCGAGGCAACGTGTGTGTTCTCAAAGATGTAATAGTTCTGGTGGAGGAAGAAAATTCAGGGTTGTTTTTTGTAAAATTGGCTACAAAGGTTTGTTTTTCTAGTTGGTATTCAGAGCATATTTATGTCTTTAAAATAGCAGTTTCTATAAACTGCACGTATACTGCTCCAGGGTAAATCCACCATCCTTGCTCTTTCTATCTATCTGTGTATTTGTGTGTGTGTGTGTGTGTGTGTGTGTGTGTGTGTGTGTGAGGGTATGTGGTTAGCAGAAAACTGTCAAGCTCGCTCCTGAGGGATACTTATGGCCGACAGCAACATGTAATCTAACATGGAAGACATGCTTGGTAATTACCCACTCCGGGGCCTTTTGGGAGCTCTTTGAGTGACAGCCTGTCCATCTGCATACATGTTAAAGCTCATATATGGCTCGGAGTGTGTGTGTGTCCGTGTGGACTGGATCTCTCAGGCCTCGCTATTTGACAGCAGATTGAGGACTTTGAGAGACAAGGCCATCCAACCCCCGTCGCCGTCTCCACTGACCAAATCCCCCCGCCCCCTCTCCCTCCCCCCTCAATTTATCCATTTCTCTCGCTCAAGCCTCCTCTTTTTTTTTTTTCTTCATCTTTCTCAATCCCTCCCACTTTGCCATCTCTCAGATTTGCTCCTCTAGACTAATGAGAGAGTAGAGGATGACACTTATTTTCACAAGATGAATGATCTCTCGTTTGATTCGGAGTATCGGAGAGAGGAGGGAGAAAAAACGTCGACACGTTAGGGTCCTTAATTGCTTTTTTCCCCTCCAAAGAAAGTCAAATTAACATTTAGATGTTCAATAAATGTTTTATGTGTATTAGTGCTGATCTCCTTACGAGTGAGTGTGTTTGTGTGTCTGTGTAGGTGTGTGTGTGTGTGTGTGTGTGTGTGGAGGCGGTAATGAGAGACACACGCTGAGGAGCCAGTGGAGTGTGACGGCAGGCCAGACGCTGGCGTCGCGCTGCGATGATCACACACTCTGCGGCTACGGCTAAATGCCCTCTCCCGGCTGCTGCTCTAATGACATGCGCGTTATTCAAGTCAAACCACTCAAACACACACTTTCAAAGGAAATTCTGAATATCTCTCTTCGGTCATTGTGTAGATGATGCCTTTTAATTGTTTGGCGGGAAAGAAAAAACACACCATTTGAAACAGACGTGGTTAAAAATACAACAGCTTTCCCATTGTGTTTTGAGGTATTTTTACTTTTTTTTACCAACAAAACATATTTTCAGTCCAGCCATTCCACGTCACTTGAGACACTTTTAGCACATTTTGTTGATAATACTTTTGCCATGGAATGCATGACTTTTACCAGAGTACCTGCTTCATTATTTGCGGTTTGCTTTTAACAGATGTGTTTGTATCTGTGCATTTTGTGTTTGTATGTTCAGTCAAACGTGCCCTTTGACAGAGCCCCCCTGTCCCCCGTGGCACTTAACACAATCTGTAACACAATCAGCGAACTTAAGCTGTGTTTAGTAAATATTTAAAAGCCTTGTTCCTACATACCCACCCGCTGTTCGTTACGCGCCATCTTTTATTCATGAAATCCAAACTCAAATTAGTTTTCACCCAATTCTGAAATATGAGCGTGATTAAGTGTGTTTTCTCCCCAGCGCTGCGAAGGCACAAGACCTCTTTACTAATTGAAAAGTGGCCTATTCCTTATTCATGAGCTGGGATGAACGTGTAAATGCCTTGGCACCCATAAAAGGCCCGAGTGGGCGAGGCGGGCCGGGCCGAGGTCACATGACACTGTAGGAAAGGAAAGAGGGGCGAGTCTGCAAAGTGGATGTGGGACTCACTGACACCCACTGCCTTGTGTGCATAAAGTTTAGCTCATTTTTAATCTTCTCCTCATCGTCTCGGTCCGTGTTGTAACGTGATATATATTGACTGGGTGTGGCACACACACACACAGACACACACACACACACACACAACTGTCTGAATTTCTTCCACGGAGCTTGACGTACAGTGAACTCACAATGAGGTTATTCAGAGCGCTACTTCACTGGTTTGACTTAGATAAAAGGAAATGTTGTGTAATGCCTCTGGACTCTGGGAACACGCTGAACACTGAGACAACAGTGTGTGTTCTTACACGGCACAGACCAAGAAAAGAGACCTTTCATTTCCACAAGTGCTCCTTGAAGGGACTTTCTCACTGGTTGTGGGTGGTGCACTGTGTGTTTTTTAGCTTGAGCCCGTTCTGATTTACAAGTCACAGATGACGTTCGAAATCAAAAGCAAAGCCAAATTACAACATTAGAATTTGATCCGGCTGCTGGGCAGATGAGACCAGACTCTGCTGCTCTCCTCTCCTTGATGGAAACACATCACGTCTGTTTCTGACCTTGAAAACTCCGATTGTTTCCCTTTTGGCGTTAGTTTAGGGGAATTTGCAGGTTATACTGTTGGATTCATTTAACAACATAGTGTTGTCTCCCTCTAGCACACAACTCTCCTCCATATGCCGCTGAAGGAGCTACAAAGGCCTGATTTATAAAACTTTACTTGCTTTTAAAATAATTGTTTTCCAGGATTCTTAGAAAAGTATTGCATATGCCTTATTCTTACTAATTCAGGTAGACTCAGACTGGCATGCAAGAGTGCAGCGTGGTGGTGCAGGGAACCAATGACATTGGAAGATGTTTAATAACCCACACTCTATTTGTAACCATATGGGCACAACGCTTTTGTTCCTGAGGAAGTATCCTTGTTAAAGCTGTAATAATGAACGGATAATAAAACCAAATGATCTGGGTTTGTAGGATGGTTGGTGGGGTCAATCATTTCAGCTCAGATATGTGGCCGTCTTGTGTAGGGCTCTTACATATTACATACACAACTTGCAATGTCCTGCCGTTTGTAGGAAAATTCTGTTTGATAATGGATGGATGGATGGAATGGATGGATGGATCCATTGGAGATTTAAATTTCCATATGGTATAATAGTTCATCTTAATGTTCCTTCATTTTGATGTGGTAAACCGCTTAACAAGAAAATAATGGCACTTCATTCCCAAACCTCTTCCACTTTCGCAGTTAAGCCTGTTTTTTCTTTCTGTTTTTAGCTCAAAGTCACATCATAATGAACCTCAGAAAATGTCCTCTTTTATGGAAGGTGCCTTAACACATTTTGGTTTCCCGGGAAATGATGCCATCTGTGCCGGATTTATCTTCACATAATAAGGACAGACCGGTTAACTTTCTCCAACGTGCTGCTAATGCTCTTTTACTTCTTTCTCTCTCTCTTGTTTCTCTCAGAGCCACAGCAACCTATCGGGGACAGATCATTTTCAAGGATGCTCTGGCCCAACAGCTCTGTGAGCAAGGAGGTGAGTAACAATCAGCAGGGAATGCATGATTATATATCCTTCTTCCCCCCTTATGAAAGAAACATGTTCACATACGGCCCCGGCCGGAGGATATCCATGAATAGACATACACGTTGAAGCACGCGTGTGCTCCTCACCTCCCATTACTGTCCATCACATGCACAGATTGTCAGAGTATGGATGGCACATTACGGTCGATGTGCTGCTTCTTCTCGACACTGGCATGGCTGCACTGCCTGGCTCTCTTTCTGCCTAATGATGCAGCCAGAGCCAGAGATATTTGGATGTCTTATATTGCCAGCTTAATTTCAGCTTATGCTAAACTCTGGTCTTTTCACTCTCTCTCTCTCTGCCGGAGATTTACGCGTTATGTCTTACATCCACTTTCTGTGACAGCCTAAAGTAGCAGTAGACAGACAGTGTGGTCCCACTCTGCATGCTGAGTGGGTATAATTGCTTGTTTACAGGAAAGAAGCCCCCACCTCACTCAAGAGCTCCTCCTTGCAGATCAAGTGTGACTTTAATGCTGAAAGTGGAGTGAAGTACACTAACGGCTGCCGGGGCGTTTCAGGGGCTAAACAACAACATTTCAGCTTTAAGACATACTTAGTCTTCATTAGAAAAAGAAATATAACCTTTGAGGACATACTTCATTACAAGTATGTCCCAGAGCAGGTCATTGGAGACACGACAAATGACTGTAGCACATGGAGGGAAGAGAGTGCTCAACTCCGTGGCCTGATGCCACATAGAAAAGATGGCGCACAAAGCCTTCAGTCAGGCCTGGGAGAGTGACAGAGAGAGCGAGATGGCTCCTCTCCTCTGTCTCCTCGCCCCGAGAGCTCGTCCTTTCACCGCCACTGACACACTGCCCCAGTCTTCTCCCTGTGCAAAGGAAACCGCCGCAGCCAGCGCCAGTCACGTAGCTGCTCTGTGCCAAGGCCCTGCAGTATCTCACTAACACACCACTGGTCACAGGCAGACGGGCTGGAAAACAGAGATTTAGACCCTGCTGGGCTTTGGAGGTGACGCGTTGCGCATGGTAGCAAACAGAGAAAGTAACACTGAGGTCATGCAAATGATGAAACGGTCTATTTTTGGTCAACAGCCTTTTTAAGTTGTTCTAACCTCCTGATGGTGTGAGCTACAAAGATACTTTACACAAGATTATTTGATAGTTATGCAAAATTAAAAAAATAGGATGAAGGACTATTTTTCTACTACTTTTCTGTTGGTGTCTCGGCCAGGACTCCTTCAGAAAAGAGGGAAAACAAGTATTATTTTGAAAATAAAATAAAAAGCAGAGAAATACAATATAAAGCTAAAAGATATGTTAGTGCTGATTTATTTCTAATTGGTGAAGGACAGATAGATGGTGCTTTGTTGTACAGTCTTATTGCAGATGGGAGGATCGAAGGAAAAAAAAGAAGCAATGAAAACATATTAATGAGACAATTGAAGGTCATGAATTGCAGATGATTTGAGGTTTGGGGAGAGCGAGTGATGCGATTAAACCATTAATAAAAGAAAAGTGTTGACACGGTGTGGCTGATCTTGTGGTTGACCAAGTCCTTTGAGGGACTTTGTTTTTGTGAAATATGGCAGAAAATGTAAATTACAAATGAGAAATGACCATGCCACGAGCAACACAAGGTGAAGGTAGACAGAGGAGAGATGAGAGAAAGGAGTAGACAGAATCAGGCCCGATCCTTTCTGGCCTCTTGTGGATTTTTCAAACAGGGACAAGCACCATTTTTCTCCACTCTGCTCTAATTCACCACAGTCAGTTCCTCTTCCTCTTTCCAAGCCAAACCTGCAACTTCAAAAGAGCTGTGCAGATAACAAAAGCCATGAAAGTGGAATGATGAAGGGGAGTTGACGTCGAAATGAAACTCAAAAATGACTTTGACATTAAACAAATTGTGCTGTGGTGCAGCTTGAACCGTGTTCCTCAGAAGAGAGGTCGGCTAATGCAGTTACACTACTACTACTAAGGTGCATGAATCACGTTTATTGTCTTAGTTCCCTCAGCAAAGACTCAGACTCGCCGAGGCGTTCAGACTTCTCTCTTCCGGTGGGATCAGATACGCCACCGTCCCAAATCAGCAGTAGAGTGGCAAAGAGAGTGCAAGCTGCTTTGAGCGGAGTTACTTCAAATCTCGGCATTAGCATTCAAAGTGGAATGAAAGCTATACGAGGCCAGCTCAAGCCACTTCAGAAGTTCATATGCTTAAGACTCGAGCTTTGAAAAGCTGCAGAAATGAAAGCTATCTAAAGCAGGGTTATGATCCGTGGAGCAGAGGGAGGAAGGAGAAGAGGAAGGAAGGAAGGGATGAGGAGAAACAGGGTAGGCTGCTCCAATAAGAAGGCAATCAGGGCTGATCAGCCAGAGGGAAAACTTTAAGAACAAATGGGCACATTAGCCAAGGAGATAGAAATAGAAGGTGACATTGGAGTGTGAATTTCAGCTCAGTGTGATAAAGAGATGAATGATATATGAATTCTAATGTACAGTAAATAAGATATTTAAGAGTGAAGAAAGAGGACAGGTATAATCCTTTAACTCACGTGGTCCGCCTGACATGCAGCACTTTGCCTCTCAGTATTGGAAAAAGACCACCTGAGTGTTCACAGACACGGGTGTTTGTTGTAATGTTTTCAGTCTGGTGCCCCTAAAAGCCTGCTGTGACATAAGTAAACTGGATATGTGTGTGTGTGTGTGTGTGTGTGTGTGAAATGATGCCTGGTCCCAGACACACTGCTCTATCAGCCCCTCTCTGCTGTGCCCGTACTCTTCTGCACTCCATTCTCTCGTTCAACCTTCAATTCATCCCTCCAACTTCTCCCACACTTTTCCCCCCATCACTTTATTCAGCAGTCAGCACAATAAAATGCACATATTTTGTCCTTACTTGTTGATTCAGAAGACAAAACTCACGGCTGTGTGACAGAAACTGCTGCAAACCAATGAAATGCACAGCACAGAAGAGAAGAGTGTGGCATATCCGCATATTTCCAAATGGTTCAGACAGTTTTCTGAAGATGCTTTGAAAGCATGATGCGGAAAAATGCAAATTACCGGCACACTTTTAAACCACTAAACCACAGATGACAGGCGGTGGGATAAAACAGAAGTAGATTTCTGCTCCTACTGAGCAACCATAAAAAAGTATTAAGTCCATATGAGTGGAGACAAGGTGGAGAATGAGGAGAGGTGCTCTGTGCTAGAGGGTGGAGGGTTGTGGGTGTCCAATGACGCTGCAGGCCCTCCATCAGCTCTATCTCCTGACGGCGCTCCCCAGCATCGCCGGGTCCTCTCATTTCCAGCGAGGGAATAAATCAGGTCTTTATGGGCCTGGCCGAGTGCACTGCACCCCAGATGGATTATTAAAGGGACATATAACTCAAAGAGGCCACTGCTCCCTGAGGGACGCCCGAACACAGCCCAACAGAGGAGCGACGCGTGGCCTCCCCCCCCTCCTCCCCCTCCTCACCCACCCGGTCTGCCAGCCGGCCTGCTTGCCTGGCTGAGCGCCGGCTTGCCTGACATCCCTCATCTTTCACCAGCGAGAAACCTTGAGACTTCGCTATGTAGCCCATGTCTCCCTCTCGACTGTCTCCAATAGCTCCAATTTTTCCCCGGTTTTTCTCTTTCTCTATCTTCCGGCTTTAAACACAGCCAGAAAAGGCAAAACAGAGATTGGAAAATAGAACGATGTCTTCGCTGGTCTCCTCTCCACTTACCTATGATTATTGTAATGATGCCGACTGAAGCCCACTCAGAGGCCCTGGTTTTCTCTGAGTGGAGCGAAGTGGCTCCTATCGGACCATAGAGAACAATTTCTTTCTAGTCATTGTAAAAGGAAAAAACAACAGCATCCTGCGTCCTGCTGAGTCTGTAATTGCAACAGCCAGTCAGACCGGAGCAATTCCACTTCAAACGAGGTCCGCCTCGTTAAGGATGTGAGTCAGACGAGAAGAGAACAGGAGATTGGAAGAGCGGATGCGGTTTACCGGGTGGGGAGAAAAAAACGGGGAGAGAGAGGAGATTAGAGCTGGAAGATGGAGAGAAGTAGGGGGAGAAGATTTAGCATGACTTGTGCCCTGCGCTCTTTGTGCCGACATGTCTGAGACCGCAGAGGCTTACGCTTATTTAGTCCCCCCTCGTATTAGCCAAACCCTGCTCATCAGCACCCGTCCGGTTCTACTCCCAGAGTAGTTTATTGAGAATACCCTCTTTGTTGCATCGCTTTCTATGTGTGCATATTTGTGCAAGTTAGTAGCAAAATAGCCGAGGGTTGGGTCAGCTCTGGCAGGAAACGTCTGTGTGTGTGTGTGTGTGTGTGTGTGTGTGTGCATTTAGAATTTTGTGTGTGTGTCTCCCTCGGCCCGCTTGTCAGCATAAGCCCCGGCCAGGGAGATACAGGCATTAGCGGAGATGAGCCCCAAATAGAGGAGGCCGTAATTGAAGTCTTTAAGAAAGTGAGAGGGGATTAATCCAAGTGAAATGAGCGCCACTGTCTGCTCCCGATGCGCACGGGGTTAGACACAGACAGACAGAATGGGTGCGGATGGAGGGAGAGATTGTGATGGAAGGAAAAGGAGAGAGACACCAGCAGAGCGTGATGAAGCATGGAGAAAGAAAACTGTAAATGAGGCCTTGAAGCTTGAAGGGATTATCCAGCCCCACCCCCCCCCCTCCCCAAAAATCATTTGGGCCTTTCTCCAGCCAAATGGTCTCACTAGAAAGGCTGAGAGAGACTTAGACGGGTTTGTTTAAGAGAGAGAGACTGTATGCGGTTCACTATTGTCCGTCAGTTTGAGAGGGTGGATGAGCAGGAATCGTGTCGTGGTACCCACTCCGCTCCGGTCTGTTTTTTAAGGTGAACAGACGCTTAATGTAAACAGAGCCCAAAACTGCTTACCTTATTTTTCTTACAGTTTAATAGGGTACTAGGAAGCAGAGAGAGTTGCGCATGCTGCGATTGATAGCGCCTCCAGACGTGTTTGGAATCGGCTGACATTTGAGGATTAGAGGGCGAGGAAGGGAGAATGGGGGTAGGAGGGCCCTTTGATCTGCTTTTCATGGGCTTCGCTGTCGATGCTCGGGCTCCAGCCGTGGAGCCCGAGCATCGGGGTCCACCAGAGCGGCAGCAACAGCCGCAGCCACTGAACCGGCCAGCTCCGGCACACAGGCCACTAAAGCTCCAACTTCTGCCGTCAGTGTAAAACTTTTCCAGAACTCTGTGAATAGTAAATCCACTCTTAAGTGCCCAGCATTTGGATCCATAGAGAATAAATTACTGACCTCTGAATGAAGGCATTTGCAGAGCCATTACGATGGTAAGAAATCTTTTTTTTGATAATCCCTCTTGATTTATGTTCCGTTGTTCATGAGGGATTTTAGGTGGGCTTCTCAAACGCAAGCCCCTCTCAGAGGGAATGTTAAAACTGCTGCAAGGCTTGAAAGGAACTAACTAGAAATTAAACTCTTCATGGAGTGGGTTATCTCAGTGTGTTTTATCAGGTGGGCAGACTCATCCCGGATGGAGAATACTGCGGCAGATTATCCTTCTATTCGGTCTCGAGTTTAAAAAAAACAACAACTACCGGAGCAAAGTAAAGCAGCTCGAAGGGATTGAGGGGTCACATGTTCACTAAGGTTAAAGCCACTGTGCCAAATCCAGCAGTGACTGGAGTGAACATTTGGTGCATTTTAGCTTTATGTTCTTAGTGTCTTAAATACACAAAAGCAAAAGTTTTAAATTAGTCACCTACTGTATGTTCATTTTCTTTGGTGCAAATCTCCATAATTTGCCTCAACATTCCTGTCTCTTAATACAACATCTAAACTAATCAATCAAAATGTCTTTACTTTGACTTATTACGTTTTTAACCTTAAATGTGCATGCATACACTATTCTACGGTGCTCAGCGCTTGAGTCAGCGCCACTTTATTTTCTTCAAGCCATGTTTGATTCATTAAGTCTCAACATTCACCTCCGTCCTCTCACAGCCGTGTATCCTCTGGGAGCGATGGGTGGTTTTGTGTGATGGCTAGCTAGCGGCCACAGATTAAAGCACACGGACGCCTCTGAGGTGGATGGCGGTTAATTGGCATTGAACTGTCGAGCATGGCCGCCCTTACTGACAGGAATTAATTAACGTGGGCAGCCAGGAGACTGCAGCCGTGGCCGGCCAGGACACGGAGAAAGTTTGTTTCACTCTGAGATGACTATGACTCTTACACACGTTTTCCAACCAATCAAAATGCAAAACTGCATTGATAGGAAACGATGATGTAGTCTGTTTATCTACTACTGATAACAACTCATAACTCATTTCCTTTCTTCCTCTCTGTTTCCGTTTCAGCTCCAACCGAGTCCCCGTTAAGACCTAGTCTTGGTGAGTTTGCATCATTTTCCCATAGCTAATTGCCACATTAAATACAAGGTATTACCAAGACTGTGTCTGACTGAAAGCAAATGCTGTTTTTGTGCAGTGGAGCTCCATGGAAAACACGCTGTTCTGCGTGACGACTTTGACTCTAACCTCCAGGGCGAGCTGGACCCGAGCATCTGGTAGGGGAAAAGGACTTTTCTGCAATTTAAAGAGTTCTATATATTTGATAATTCTTGCTTTTGTTATAACTCCGTTTCCTCTCCCCTCAGGTCTGAGTGCAGGAACTGTGAGGTGGGAGAGCAGTGTGGTGTACTGATGCATGGCAGAGCGGTCACTTTCTGCGAGCCCTTTGGAGAACGAGAGCTGGTAACTGTCATGTTCAACCACACTGCCGCCGCTGTACATTTTACGGACCATTGAGCACACACCCGAAAAGCAACCACCCGGTGGCCACAACCACAGCTACAGGAAATTAGAGCGTACGAGCTGTGGGCACAGTAGAGTCTGAAGTTGTAACATCTGCAAATAACCTCCGCACAAATGTCTACTCTCTAACTCTCTCTAACAAAGAAACGGCCCCCTTTCTATCTTGACAAAGTTGATTTTGAGACTCTTTATTTTGCTGGGAGAGATGAAAGCCGGCTGGTCCGCAGCAGAGATGCATTTAATGTCTGATGAGTCTTACTTTACTGATAAGCAGTTGCTTTATCTGGCCGTTCCAAATGTTTGATGCCGTTGCCTGGCAACTTTTCTGACAAGTGCCTAAGCGTGCACATCCAGAGAACGTCTCGTATATAATATCAATGACAATGGGAATCTCTTCACGTGCACAAAGCTACTCTCAAACTCCCTCTTGCACACACACACACGCACGCACACACACACTTCTAATCTACTTGGGTTTTATACATGAATTTCTCACCCTTTTGCACAGATGTGGCAATATGTTGAAAACACTTTAGAACCTTGTTCATTGGGAATACAGGTGCAACAGACGTTTAACCTGAAAACATCAGTGAAACACTGTGTTGAGTGAAAAGCACTTGAAGTGCAGAAAATAGTAATAATAAATTATATGATTTTTGATGATTTACGAGTGATATCCTAAACTGCCGTGTGTATCCTCCCCAGACCACTGTACCTCTCAACACCAGCACAGCCTCAGTCCTGCAGTTTGCCCTGGGTAGGTATTACATCTCTACACATTGCAAACAAGGAAGTAGTACCAATACACAACACAGAGTACGATACCCTGTTCATATACCTCAGACCCTGCATGCAGCATGCGACAGTCTTTCTCAGCCAGGACAATATAGACCGCTTTGTCTTCCTCCATAAAACCACCATATTTGTCCTGTTTCCTGCCAGTGTGTTTCTCTGTCTCTCCTCCTCCTCTCCTATCACAATAATGAATTATTGAAAATATTCAGAAAAGACACCCAGAAGGTAAGGCAGAGTTTTTTAGAGAATGCGTCTTGTTGTATTTTTCATGTCCATTACGTGTTTCCACCAATACTCATGGGAACATGACTGTGAGGAAGTTACAGTACATGCAGCAACCTCTTTGCCCCTCCCTCCTGTACGTCTCTATTCCGATCTCTGTTCTGTCTGGCTTTGCGCTCGTTTGCAGGTTATTAATATGACTTTGTGATGCAGAAGTGTTGTGTATGCAGAGGTGCAGTAGAGCAGTGCATGGAGGTGGTGGCAGGTTAATGCACGACTGTATTCACCGGGGAGGGAGCGGCGCGGCAGGACGTGGCTGCCGCGCACCGTCAGGTGGTGTGGAGGGAGGCGAGGAGAGAAGGGCGGGATATGGGGGGGTTAGCCTATACTTCGTCCATTAGCCACCTTTGACCCCAACAGCTCCCGCAGCCCCCCCCCCCCCCCCGCACTAACCCACATGTCTGATCCCACTCAGACTTGCCAAGCAGTCACACGTACACACATACAGTGTTAATCTGTAGTTGGATATCGAGTCTCCGGTCCTACATCAGCTCCAGTGATTAAGTCTGCATATTTCTCTCAGCCCTGTTAAGCTGCTGATCTCTTCGTTACACCGTGACACCGTTTAAACCCAATTTTTATCACTTGGCTAAAGGGGGAATTTGGGAGCAATCAGTTGGAAGAAGCCATCCCCTTCGGGTATACTAGGGATCATTGCTCCGCTGATGGAATTCAATCGTTGAAAAGAGGAAACTATAGCTGACACTTTGAGTAGCTGTTCCCTCAACAGGAGTGTTAACTGTCATATATGTCTGTCCTCTGTGTGCATTTATATTCCCCAGGCTCAGGCTCCTGCCGGTTCAGTTACTCAGACCCCAGCATCACTGTGTCATACAGCCTAAGTGGCAACGCCAACACCTCAGATGACTGGATCACACTGGAGAAGATCAGGTCTCGCTCTCTCCCCTCTTCCTCCTTCTTCCTCATCCATCCCACAGCCCTTCCATCTGTTATGAACACCCGTCCTCTCCTCTTTTCCCCTCATTCACACCTCCCCCTCTCAATTTGTCATTCCTCTCCTGTATGTTTCTCTACGTTCCCCCTGTTTTTCATCCCTCTATCCCGGCCTCTCTCTGTTTAGTCAGCTCAGAGGGGGAACACAGGCTTAATGTAATGATGCAGTCTCAAAACTACAGCATTCAGCTGCAGTAAGCGGATGTTTTAATTGTGTGTGGACACACAAAACCATTCATACATCAAGGATTGGATCTCTCTGTTTTATTCCACCATAAGGACAAGTAGTGTCTCTCCATATGTGGCTATTCCAGGTTCATTTCAATGATTAATGGTGATTATTCAATGCATAAACAGGTTGCAGTTAAGTACGTAATCACAGCCGTCACATATAATACTTTGTGTTATACGTTTCTCCTCCAGGGCCCCGACCAACAGCAGCACCGTTGTCCACCTGCTTCCCCTGCCGCATCAATCCAGGGCTGATGGCGTTCGTCTCCGCTGGTCTCAGGAGGTCCCCCGTGGACCCGAAGGCTACGAGTCCTGCTGGGGGCTGGACAATGTGCTGCTGGTCAATGCTGCCCACAGGGCTCCTCTTATGGAGGACAACTTGGACCCTCCAGACACTGCCAACTGGCTCTTCTTCCCCGGAGCGACTGTCAAGGTACACAACAAACCAGCCTACACTTACAGATTCCCTTCTTTAAGAAATATGATACATTGAATCATGATGAAATAACCTCTCTGTTGCCAGAAAGACCATTTTTTAAGCTTTCACTGCAAAGTCAATACCAAAATCCCGTAGAGCACTGTTGCATGTGTTAACACCTGCACTCCTATTTGCCAGCATGCCTGTCAGTCCGAAGGCAATGCCCTGTATTTCCATGGTGGTGAGGGAGTTGGCCACAGCTTTGCCTCCACCAGAGACATTGACCTGCATCGGGAGGAAGGAAGGAGCTACTGGGAGGAAGACTTTGAAAGTCTACCGTCAAAGTAAGTCGTCATAATGGTCCCACGTTTTCCCCCACCCCATTTACGGGATAATTGGACCAGCTGTGCTATTTAATGAAGTTAAAAGAACAAAATATAAACAGACCCAAATCAAACCCACAAAAGCATTATCCTTAATACATGTTGGCTCATGATTGATATAATTATTTAATACAACGCCATAGCATGGCGTGGAAAGAGAGAGTAAACACAGAGAGATTGTTTTTGGTAGCCTACCAGCGCTCTGGTATTTGGGTGTGTATATATACACAGGCTTTGACATCTGTCACTTGTCATATGCCGACCGATGCAACATGCAGCGGGTTGCACAGGTTTAATTCGAGCACGGGGGCCGACACAGGTGAGTGCCATGCCTCTGACTGCTACGGGGACGGCAGCCCATCTGCTCAGAGTGAGACACACACACACACACACACACACACACACACACTCTTGCTTTCTAACACACACTGGACGGCAGACAGCAAGGTAGCACAGTGGGAGCCACTGCATGAGGCGGAGATATGAAAGAAGAAAGGTGATAGATACCCGTTAATGCCAGAGAGTGATTAGCAGACCCCCTGCACCAGGTCTGTCATTAATGAGGAGGATCTGAAACACGAAGCTATTTCCACTCACACCTTCCTGCAGCACGCCAGCATGCGACACTGCACGCCATCTCTCACCCATCAGGTGTCATGGTCCGACACGTGTGTGATGTAGACATCGAGCGTTTTCTGCTCGTGCTAGGCTGCTTTCCACTAGGCGCCATTTAACCCAATAGACTGAAAGAAAGGAAAAGGGAGAGCGAGAAGCAGGCAGTGGAGGCAGAGGAACACACTGAGTATCTTCTGAGTTAAACACGTGCAGAAATGCTGTATTACTTGCGTTGTGTGTTTTTGTTGCACATTATGGCTGCTGTTTGCAGACTTCAGTAATACTCCAGGGGGGAATGTTGTATTAAATAGGCAATCTATAAGCACAGATGTTTGCATCCTGGGATTATTAGGTCAATATAGGTTGAGGTTAATATTGGGCCATAAGGTTAAGTGCTTAAGACTTAGCAATAAATGAAGCCTCTCCCTGTGTACTTCACAGTACGTTGTTATTTTCAGTGTTATTTCCCTTCTTTATCCAATCTTACTCTTAAGAATGAATCATTGTTACTTTTAAACTATATTAGGCCACAAACCATCTTACTTAGAGAAAGAAAACTCATTATTTCAGTTTTAGAGTCTATCATGTGGCATTATTGCTTGGATCGCTTGTCTTTTTGCCATTATTAATGGTGATGAAATACTGCCACATGAGTCATGTTCTCCTTATTTTAAATTTTGTGCTGATAAACTTCATTTACTTACTCTTTTTTTACCCAGTTGGGACATAGAGGGAGCCGTCTGTGGGACCCACTGTGGGGAGATTGAGTCCGGCTCAGCGCTAGTGTTTGAGAAAGAGGGCAGGAGGAGGCTGTGCACCCCGTACCTCGACACCACGTCTTATGGAAACCTTCGTTTCTACTTCACCATGGGTATGGAAGACCTCCACACGTATTCACGTTAAGCAACGGTAGATGTGCACACAACCATTTGGCATTGCATGACCACGGAGATGCGTGCTTGTGTTCAGGTGGCGGGGACTGTGATCCAGGAGAGTCTCATGAGAACGACGTGGTTCTGTTTGGAAGGTCTGAAGGCAGGAGGGAACGCGTGGCCCTCGACAGCCTCCCTTACTCTTCTTACAGGGTGAGACACAAAGACGTGTACTTACGGTTCAGAGCCTGAAGTGCTTGCTTTACTGTATACCAGTGAATTGATGGTAATACAATGGCAGTTATATTGAATTGTCAGTCCAACTAGACAACCGTGTATAATGTAACTGTGGTGGAATTGTTAACGATGAGGTTCGAGATACTCTAGAGACCAACAGCAGTGTATTTCAGATTACTGGAATAAACCAATAATAAAGACTTTAGAATTTAATAAAATTATTTTTATTGTGTGTAAAATGTAATTTTATTTCCGTTCTGTTTCTCACAGAAACATGCTTAACTCCTGAACCAGTGCATTCCCATTCCTAGACTTTCAATAGAGCTGATACTATTGGATCACCATGATTGATTTGCTATTTGCATGTGTTTTGATAGTTGATTAATCGTTTCATTTTCCTTTTTAGCAATCATTTTGAAAGCATTGTTCCAGCTTTTCAAAATACCCCTGGCTTTTATCTTTTTTGGCGTCTTGCCACTATTCTGATCTGCTTTTCTGTCTGTCCCAGAGTCCCGCGCTCGTATCGGTGGCGCTGCCCACCGAGCTGCAAACACCAGTCACCCAGTTCTGCCTGGAGCAGCGGTCACATGGGGGGGCCAACCGCCACGTATGGGCTGTGGACTTCATGCAGCTGCTCCCAGTGCTGCCTGGCACCCACACACATGTTGCTCAGTTCTCCATCAACCTCGGCTGTGGCTCCTACCAGCCTGCCAACAGGTGTGACACATGTTTAAACTGGGTTTTGACATGAAAATATTGCCACTTTTCATGTCAAAATCACAAAATTGGGCTCCAACAAAGGAGACCTCTATACGGCAAGTGAGACCCCTTCGATTCGGTCAGTTATTTTAGGGCAAGAAGGGTGGATATGATGTAAAGGGAACTTTCAGGCACTGTTCTTAAATGGCCATAGCGGTATCTGGAGAAATATGAACTCAAAGAATGAGGAATGTTTAAGAAGTTTCTTGGGATTAATTTCTTCTGGGTATTTAAATCCAAGAGTTCAAGCTCTTGCAGTCATTTGAAGCTTAAATCTTTAAATGAGTAGAAAAGTAAAAGGCATTACGGTGGAGTCTCGGAAGACATCATTTACGTTTTCTTATCTAATCTAAATAAGATCACTCTAGCCACTTTAGCTTATTTAATTTGCAAATTAAAATGTTGAGATAAGACGTCCTCTGTTTGCCATTAGCGTGAGTCTGGAGTTTTCCACCAACCACGGCCGCTCCTGGTCTCTGCTCCACACCGAGTGTCTGCCAGAGCTCTGTGCTGGACCCCACCTTCCTCACAGCACCATCTACTCTTCTGACAACTACAGCGGGTATGAAGGAGTCTGCAAACCTGTGTGTGTGACATGAGTGTCTGACTCATACATACAGTATGTGTCAGTCGGTCACTTTGGAAACATGCATATTGTATTTTGTCTCTCCAGGTGGACCAGAATCTCCATCCCTCTGCCCAATGCTGCCCTGACGGAGACAACACGTTTCCGTTGGAAACAGACAAGCACTGGATTGGGCAACATGTGGGCTATAGACAATGGTTAGTACTATACATATACAGGTCACATGGTTTAGTTTGACGCCAAAAATGAGATGCAAAACTTCCTCCATAAGAATGAATTTAGGGTTACAGACATTTTGAACATAAACAAAAGTATTAAATTATCTAATGATGTCATTTCCATGCCTGGATTTTGCTTCAGTGTATCTCGGTCCGGCCTGCCTTCGTTTCTGCTCTGGGAGAGGTCACTGTTCCCGCACCGGCTGCAAGTAAGTATCTGCTTTTTATTAAACCAAATGAATCCATTGTGTCTCCTTGAAAATGAGTCTGCTCATTATCCACCTAATGCCTTCCAGCACCAATCACCATCCAAAAGTTAATCAAATTGTATTATGCTTGTGATTTATTAATGGATTTTCATTATGACTGTCTTCTTTTTCTCATTTATATCCTTCACTCTTTTTTAATGTGTCATGTCTTTCCCACCTACCTCTCCTCTCTCCCTCTCTCTCCCTCTCTCTCCACCAGATGTGACCCTGGCTTCAGTGGTCCTGCCTGTGAGCTCGCCTCCCAAACCTTCCCGGCGTTCCTGTCGGAGGGCTTCTCCAGCCCGCGCCTCTCCTCCTACCACAGCTTCTCCTCGCTCCGTGGTGCCGAGGTCAGCTTCGGTTGTGGCGTGCTGGCCAGCGGGAAGGCCTTGGTCTTCAACAGAGACAGCAGGAGACACTTGGTTACATCTCCACTAGACAGCTCCCAGGCCAGGTAATGGAAAAAGCTGATGTAGGAAAAAAACCACACAAACATAGATTTTGTAAGATTTTTTAGATTTTGAATCTGCTGGTTTTTGTGCCACCAGAATATTTCTTTGTAAAACTCTGACTTGTCGTCATCATCTGGCTCTACTGCTAATTAATACTGCAAATGTTCCATCCAGTCACCCATCCACACTGTCAGTTCCTCGTTCCCTCATACTCTGGGCTCTTATGCTGTTGATTGATTGCGACCGTGGGGAGGACTGCAGATGAGAGGAGAGATTAAAAGAGGAGGAAAATGTGAGGGAGAAAGATAGAGAGGCAACGGGGAAGTTAGATAAGGCATCTGTGTTAGATTGATTATGCCTGTTGCGGCTCTGTGTATGCCACCTGATGGCCATATTTAATGCCAGTTTCCTGGCTGAATGAGTGAATAGCTGCCTGAAAGAGGAAACCGCATCGCTATTGAAAGCCCTGCTCAGCCAAGGACAGAGAGAGCTGGAGGCTGACAGCCCAGGAAAGATGATGGGACATTACAATAAGTATTGCATTGGAGCGGATGAAAATATGTCGGCCAAAACATGGAAGAACACATAAAAGTATGGAACCTCGAATACGTTATCTAAGTAGAGTTAACACGGACACATGGATCTTTCTTGCACTTTATTTCCTTCCACCTCCTCACATCTAATTTTTCCCATATTCATTTAATCATCTCATCCATCATCCTGCCACCTCCCTCCCGCCTCTCTACTCTGCATGACTGTCTGTTTGTCCGCCCTTCTTTCCCCTCTCTCTCTCTCTCACCTCTCTTCGCTTGTCTCTTTTCCTGCATCTCATTCATCAACCTGCCCTCTTCCCTTCTTCTGTGTCATTCTCCCCTTCTCACTCTAACCTCCCCTACTCCTCTCGCTTTCACTGTCTGCAGGTACCTACAGTTTACGCTTCGCCTGGGAAGCCGAAGCACCCTGAGCTCATGTCCCGCCCCAGACCAGCCAGGAGAGGGAGTCCTGCTACATTACTCCTCAGACAACGGCATCACTTGGACACTGCTGCAGCACTACGCTTACCAAGGCTTCCATGAGCCAAGGTACCTCCTATGTTTGGAGTCTGTCTGTGTGTGTGTGTGTGTGCACATACACTTGTATGCTTGCTCTATTCCACAGAGATACTATGACTCCATTAACAGACGCATTTTGCGCTGCTAATGGCATGCTGGAGGTGTAAGCCGCTGGGACCCATCGAGTCTGTTAGAGCGGTACGTGTGTGTGTAATGAAGACCAAGTGGGCTGGGTTCCAGCGTCGCAGAGCTCTTCATCACCACTAGAGGGGTCAACTATCTGACCCGCGGGTGCGATTGGAAGTTGTTACTCTTACTCTTACTCTTACTCTTACTCTCTCCGTACTAAAGACCCCAAAAAACAGGAATCCGTCTTGACGGAGAGAAAAAGGTCTCTGCGGCAATTCAAAATTTAAAGAGTGACGCAAGATGCTGTTAATAAATTTGGTTACATTGACCATCTGCATTGTGTCAAAATCTGTTGAAGATTGTCTAAGCAGACTGTGATTATGCAGGGTTTAGATCCAAGTCAGAGTCTCGGTTCAGTAAGCTACTGTGATTCACTCCAGCTATGTTTTCCGTTTTTTGGATACTGACCCAAAATAAACTGTTCTCGCATTTGCACGGATGTGACTTTGCGCTACTTTCTTCAAGAAGATCTAATAATCCCTCTCTCCCAACCAGGATCGTGTCGGTCGAGCTCCCTGCCGGTGCTCGTAAATTCGGCGTGCAGTTCCGCTGGTGGCAGCCGTACCATTCAGGTCGCGGTCACGATGTGTGGGCCCTGGATGAGATCAGCATGACCTCCGTGCTGTTTAACACTATAAGCCTGGACTTCAGCAACGTGCTGGACGTCACCCAGAGTCTCGGTTTCTATCTCGGCCTTGTCCAGCCCTACTGCCAACACGACTGGACCCTCAGGTAGGAGACTTAACGGCAGAGGCAGCCATCGCATAACAATCCTGCACACGACATTGAGCATGGTGTCCTCTCTCTCCTGGCGTGTTCTACTATAGCTTCTCCGGGGAGCCCAGCCCCGGCTCCAGTATTCGTTACGTGGAAACTCAGTCGATGCAGATCGGCGCCTCCTACAGCCTGCAGTTCTCACTGGTCATGGGCTGTGGTCGCGAGCCGTCCCCTCACATTGACACTCAGGTCCGCCTGGAGTTCTCCACCAATCATGGCCTCACTTGGCACCTGGTCAAAGAGGTACGGAGCATGAACACAGTCGGCTTTTGTTCTCCATCTTAAGTGATTGTTGACACCTGAGGCGCACAGCCTTGTTCATGACTAGAAGTTGTAGGAGTCGTCCCCGAGAAAGACACGGAAGTATGTAATTCATGATTAGGAATATTGATTTACCCATTACAGACTGTAATAATATGTAAATAATGTCTTTAAACGTGGAACTTAGTTTCAGATGAGAAATCATCGCAATTACTTTTTATCATCCCACTATTAGCAAATACATGGCAATACTTGAATCAGCAGGCAGATTATCTTCTTATGATTCAACAAAGATTTTCCCCGATCACAAATGGCTCATAAATATTCATGAGGCGCCAAAGTGTCTGCCAAGATTTGTATTGCCATTGGAACTGAATAGGGCTTAATGAGTCTTCCATCAGTGAATGTTTTCTAATTCTCCCGTGCATGAAAATCTGGCAAGTGCAAAATGTAACTCGCTGAATGTCCTGTAACTAATCCTTCCTTGTGTTCCAGGGTCCAAGGTCAGAGAAACTGTAATCCTGTTTTAGCCTTTTAGTACGCATATAACGAGGGGCTAATGCGGTCTCGGGGTGTGTCCGCAGCGGATTATGCTGTTTCTGAAAATGTTTGCAATAAAACAAAGTCCACAATGACAAGTGGAAAAACTTTAAGAATTATGAGTAATCAATCTTAAGTTATGACCCGACTGTCCCCCCCCTCCCTCCCCGACCCCCCTCCATGACTATACGATAAAAAGTGTGTTTTAATGAAAGCTATTATCTCTTTCACCTAGGCCTGTCTGCCCGGCATGACAAGCTGCTCTGAGTTTACAGCTCCCAGCGTTTACCATCCATCAGAGTTCAAAGACTGGAGACGCATCACTTTGTCTCTGCCTCAGAAGACATGGTAAGAAACTCCCATCTGTAGACATAGAAGACACGATTCACAAAGGGCCCTCTTGGGACATCAAGTCCTCTGATTTGATCTTTTATCTTTCATATCTTTTGTAGTCAACAAGCTTAATACACCTGAGATTGAGGCGAATGTTTAACATAAAGGAAGCGCGGGCACCAATTACTGTTCATGTCTCACACGTCAATACACAGGCAGGGACGTGTGTAACTATTTTACATCATTCTTCTTTTTAAAAAAGGATTGTTTTCTTTCATATACAATGCTCTAATGCACACTAACAAAACAAGGAATAAAAGTCATTTTATTCATTTTGGAAAACATAATATCGTATTACGATGTTGAGAACACTTTAGTCAAAAGAACACAAAAAGTAGAAGTCAGTATTGATCCAACTCACTACGTGATACAGAAGCAGCGGCCTCTCTTTTGTGTTTGCACTCACTATTCGATTAAATAATCTGATGGTCATCATTTAGCTAATAGCCAACAGCTAGATGAACTAAAACCTTTGAATTGGCGTTATGCGTTTCCAGTATAAATACTCCAAGAATATAACAGTGCATTGTGAAAAGTAGAGTACAATCGTCAGTAATCAAGCTCCATTTACCATCATGCATTGCACTGAAACAAAGGCAGATGGACGAGAGGAAAGAGAGCAGCGTGATAGAGACAAATCCATGAGTTGAGGTGGAAAAATTATATATTTTATGTGACAAAAATAGCTTGCAGATTCATATTTACTGACATACTTTTATGTCAATATTTATTATGGATATTAAACCAGCCGATGTTGATCTGGCACATTTTAATTGTGGGGCAGCAGTAATGTAATTTAAGGCGTGGAGTAAACCAGCCGTCCTGTATTCAGCATTTCCTGCTAAATTCATTTACTGTAACAGCCCTCGCTTGCACATATATCAGCTCAAACCATCACATAAACCTTCCACACGGATAACTGTGACCTCCACCTCCATTTCATTCTGCCACCCAGCCCCTTAATAAATTGGTGGTCTAATCTCCAACAGGGTGAGATGAGAGGTCACAGGGTCACGGCTACCATAATGAAATAGTCGTGAAATAGCCGTGTAGGATCAGCTGGTGGTCTGAGTCAATACGGGTCATAGAGGAAAGAGACAAAAAAACGCGTACTATAAATCCCCCAGAATACCTGACCAACTGCGCCCTGACGACCATTTGTCATCACTCGACGTGCAGGCGCTCACATGCCTGCATCCACACTGCACGCACATTCACATCCACAGACCTTGAACACAGATGATGCGATGATGATGGTATGATGATGCCCTATGAAACAACCCCCCTTCCCCCACACACACACACACACAATAGACATTCACCAATGTGCTAAGGTTAATCTTTACCTGCCAGAACACTTAATCCACAACTCTTTATCCCCGGTAGAGAAGTAGATTAGTCAGTATAACATGATGACAACAGCCTGACCTGTTAGCAACGGCTGTCCGTTTTTGAGATCATGTAATGTGATTGTGTTTGTGTATTTCCTGTGTTCAGGTCCAGCGCAACACGGTTCCGCTGGATCCAAAACTACTACGGAGAGCAGGACGAGTGGGCCCTGGATGACATCTACATCGGCCAGCAATGTCCTAATATGTGCCACGGACATGGATGGTGTGACCATGGACACTGCAGGTCAGCTTTCACTTACAGATACAGGCATAAAACTCCTTGAGGATTGTCTATATTGCTATTTCAATAAACCCATTGAAGGCCCAGAAATATTATCTTATTGATGTTTGTGATACGATAATTCGAGCAGAGAGATTTAGAACCAAGATGAGAAGTTTGGCCGATGTCTTCTCTCGTAGGTGTGATGAAGGTTTCTCTGGAACAGACTGCCAGCCCTCCTCCCCCCTCTCCTCCAGCGTACTCTCTGACTTTGAGTCCCAGGATGCACTGCTGGCCACATGGAGGGAGGTGATTGGTGGAGAGGTGGTCACCCCCGACATGGGCTGTGGGGTGGTCTCATCTGGATCATCCCTGTACTTCAGCAAGGTGAAACAACTAGAAAAGTTTCTTGGAAATCTTGATCCAAATGCATATCCCAGAATTTTGATCGGGAGAATGCAGCATTTACAAAAAATGTTTTTCAATAAACTGTGTTTAGTGCACGATTATAAATAAATGTCTCACAAAAACATTTAGTGTCTGTTTACCTTTGACCTCTGAATTACTGCTACCCTCAAAATATATGGGATTTATTTCATCCTTTCATGGTTCTGTAGAATAATTGATTCTAACTGGATTGGGGGTGCACACAATTTTCAGTCAGCTCTGTATTGTATCTGCCTCTCACATTTCCAAATGACCAGACATAGCTGAAATCAGCTGCTGGTCTTTCTGTTTGAGTGATATTTCTTCCAGGATTTGGCGTTTTGGTCCTTCCTTTCCACACATGTCTGAATACATGTGCGTGTGTGTTGTCAGGCTGGGCTGAGGCAGCTGTTGAGCTGGGACCTGGACACTGAATGGGCGGAGTTTGTGCAGTTCTACCTGCGGGTGGGCGGAGACTGGGCCGAGTGTAATCAGGCGGACAGCCGGGAGGAAGGAGTGCTGTTGCAGTACAGCAACGACGGAGGCATAAACTGGGGCCTCATCGCCGAGATGTACTTCACCGACTTCACCAAGCCTCGGTGAGAAACCGGCAGAGGAACAACATTCAGACCCCTGATCTCTTTCTTGCTGTCTGTGCAATAAATGAGTTTTATGCATAATTAATAATTAATCTGTCGTGTCCTCTCAGCTTTGTCCACTATGAGCTTCCCTTGGCCTCAAAGACGCCCTCTACAAGGTTTCGGTGGTGGCAGCCTCTTCACTCTGGGGATGGTTACGATCAGTGGGCAATTGATGACATCATCATTTTATCAGAGAGGGAGAAACACATCATCCCCATGGCCAATCCAACTCTACCACAGGTCAGGAATCAACTGAAGCAGTTTCTCCTTTAACGTATCATCCGTTCACCTCTTGAAAATGTATTTTCTTGTTGAGGAAAGTGTCGGCCCAACTGAGAAAGAACAGCCCTAAAGCCTTTCCGAAAATATGTCCGATTATCTCCGGCTGAATATGCTTTGCTGCATACAGGGATGCCTCTTATCACAAAACAACACAACAAACTTGTCTGTCCTCTGTCTCAACAGAACTTCTACGAGAAGCCAGCATTTGACTACCCTCTGAACCAGATGAGTGTGTGGCTGATGCTGGGTAATGAAGGCATGGAGAGGGAAAGCAACAACAGCTTCTGCGCCTCAACGCCTTCTGCAATGGTGTTTGGCCGCTCCGATGGGGACAGGGTGGCCGTCACCAGGGACCTGGCCTTGCGGTCTGGCTACACCCTTCAGTTTAAGGTAAGCGTAAAACTTTTTTTTTTTAAGGATGCCGTTTTGGATAAAAGGCACACAATAATTACGTTTTTTTCCCTACCAGTTGAACATAGGCTGCGAATCAGAGTTCAGCGCGTCTGCTCCAGTCATGCTGCAGTACTCTCACGATGCCGGGCGCACCTGGGCGCTGGTCCGAGAGGGCTGTTACCCAGGAACCCTGGGGGCAGGTGTCTGTGAGGGCAGTGGTCGGGAGCTTAGAGAGCCCACCGTCTACAACACTGGAGACTACGAACAGTGGACCAGGGTGACTGTGGTAATACCACGCAACGTTGCAGCCAGGTAGCTATGGTAACAGGCATGCAATTGGATTTCAGTCGATGTATTAGGAATTTGATTCATTTTCTTCTGACTCAAAGGGGCGATTTAACGAAGGGATTGAACATACACAAACTACACTAAAGAATCTTTTAAAAGCAGCAGAAAAGTATGAAAAAACACAAATACAGTTAATTTGTTAGCGTCTTCAGAGAATTAGTGAATCAGGGAAAAGATGCAAATACTGAATTTGTGTCATGAAACATAAATGAATAAAGTTAGCCTAAATATATGATTTTTAAAAAGATTAAGAAAAAAAGGATTACAATATCAACAAATAAACAAATGATTTCTTCAATCCTGGCCTTACAATTTTCCCTTTCCTCTTTCTTAATTGCCTTCAGGAGCTTTGGATGGAAATAGAACTCTGGCTCAGGCTGATTCTCCCCCTCACAATCGGACTCATTAGCCTCACGCTTATTTATAATTTGCCACATAGATAATTGCAATCAGATGAAAAAGCTGAGAAAATTACTGTCAGCTGCAAAACTTTATGGACGTGTTTGCATTGTAATATAATTACGGTTGTTACATATATTTCGTGAATCGAACCTTGAGACTGGAGAGATGGTTGCAAATGATACATAATTCACAAAGCTACCGGCGGATGCAATCCCTTCTTTGTGAATATATATTCTGACTGGTAAATTTAAATGTCTTTATCACTTTCTTCTACCTCCTTCCCCTCATTTCCACAGTAAAACACGCTTCCGCTGGTTCCAGGAGAGCAGCGTGTACAGAGATGCTCCGCCTTTCGCCCTGGACGGGGTCTACATCTCTGAGCCTTGTCCCAACCACTGTGGGGGACATGGAGATTGCATCTCTGGCGTTTGCTTCTGTGATATGGGTTACACAGGTACAATAACAGATAGGGAAGGCAAAACAAATAAAATACATAATGGTTTTAATGTATCTTTGTCAAATATACCTTTTCATTTCCTATTTTATTGAATAGTGGAGCAGGATAGTTGTGTGCCGTCGGTGGCCGGTCCCACTGAGCTGACTGAGGGCTTCGAGGGGAAGTTGAGCCCTCTCTGGCAGAGCCTAAGTGGGGGACAAATTGGAGGTGGATGTGGCATCATTGGGGAGGGCAAAGCTCTGTACTTCAGTAGCCCCGGGAGGAGAGAAGCGCGCACAGTGCCTCTAGACACCACCAACACCCGGTGAGGAGAATCCACATCCGTACATCTCTCACATGGAGGCATTGGAGTCCAGTTCAATTGGAGGTTATTTATTTGAAACTGAAATTGAGTTGTTACTGTTTCCACACAGATTGGTTCAATTCTACATCCGAATAGGCAGCAAGAGTTTGGGGCCCACGTGCACGAGGCCTCGGTCCCGCAACGAAGGTAATTCTAACATGCTGTAGTGAGGCCCTCTGCTGCATTCGTGTGGCTGTTCCTCAACGGTGCATTGAAACGAGCAGCTCCACGTCTGATCTGATCAGTTCACGCCTCGTTTGTCTCATTTGTTCCTTTTGACAGTTTGCACTTTGACTGTGCAGTTTCCAATCTGGGCGTCATTCTCAGTCTATTCTAGTCTGTTTAGTCCAGTCAGAAGCGGTGAAGCGGTGCTGAAGGCTCAGTCTGATCGTTCCTGTAATGTCAGACTAAACAGCTTATTTCAGAAAAAAGTATTTTCTGCTGGTTTTATTTTGTAGTTGACATAGTTTTACCATAGTGTTTGTGTGTGCACAAAAATAAGTTCTCTCCCTCTGCTCTTTGTTTGATTGCAGGAGTCATTGTCCAGTTCTCTACAAACAATGGGGTCCAATGGCAGTTCGTTAGGGAGCTGGACTTTAGTTCCTTCCTAGAGCCCCAAGTGGTGACCATAGAGTTACCACCTGTTGCCAAAACTCCTTACACAGTATTTCGGTGGTGGCAGCCACAGCAGGGTAAGTTCTTAAGCAGGGTGAGCAGTACTACAGAAAAGCCCGGAAACATTACAATACTACAGATGTATTTGATATCGCAGCTTTAGCTTTGTAATCCATGTATATTTCTCTCTCCACGCTTGTAGGGAAACACTCTGCACAGTGGGCTTTGGATGATGTCTTGATCGGTATGAACGACAGCTCCAGAACCGGCTTCCACGACAAGTTTGACGGGATGACGCCTCTGAGGCACAACTGGTACCGCGTTCAGGGTGGGGAAGTGACTGTGGACTGTTTATCTCTGGACACGGCACTGACCTTCAACTCCGAGGCCATCGATAGTGAGTTACGCGAAAACATCCCTGCTCGCACGCATTCAATGAAGAGAGTTGATGACTGCCGGATCCGTAGTTGTAATTCCTTGTCCGGCTCAGAATGTGTGTGCGTGGGAAGTGAAGGAGTGACTCCCTGAGCAACCCTGACTAAGACTCTGTGTTTGCAGCCAGCAGCCCAGTGAGAAGCTGTTGGAGTGAATGTGAAGCAGAACTATACGCAGCCATGCATATGCACATTAAGTAAACCACCACCGACTGTATATTCAGATACTCAGCAGAAGTATGCACATAAATGGCTGCACAGTGAAATCGTAGCTTTACCCGCACTAAAGGCTGAAACTCGAGTCACCCATTGACTGTGGCGCTGTGGGTCCTGCATTATTAACGAGAGCAAACCTGAATTAACATCCTGGTTGTTATTTGTTGCTTGCGCCAAGCTGTAAACGGATTTACTTTGCACAAATATTACATTACAACGGGGCACATTCATTAAGCGCACAGAGCCGGACTGATTTGGCAACACATGATGCACCGAATGTCTCTGACTCTACGGCTGTCCTGATACGTGCTTAAGCACCACCCATTTTACAATGAACTCCTACACCCAACATTTGACAGCAGCTCTTGCATTTAGACTTTGTGTTTCGGCTGTACACTTTTGCTTTACATGTGACATTAAGAATGTTTAATCAAACCGGACACACACAGCGGTGTGACGCTTTGTTGTACTCCGTGTCTGCAGAGAAGCCCAGATATGCAGAGAGCTGGGACTTTGAGGTGTCCGGCTCGTCATTCCTCCAGTTTGAGCTGAGTATGGGCTGCAGTAAGTCCACCTCTTTCTCCCACGGTGTGCGACTGGAGTACTCTACAGACTGCGGTCATCACTGGTCTCTCATCACCCCGGAGTGTGTGCCGCCCGCCATCGGCTGCGCTGGTTATACGCAGAGTTCCATCTACACCTCGACCCAGTACAAACACTGGAGGAGGATCACTGTCTACCTTCCCAGTGCTGCTAAGTACGTGTGTTTTATACCCAATAGTTGACAGTAGTGGTGTATTTTCTGGCCCACGGACTCCCAGAGTAACTTTGCTATGTTTCCCTTAGTTCCCCCAGAACTCGGTTCCGTTGGATTCAAACCCACTTCACCCCAGGGGCCGAAGGATGGGCTCTGGATAACGTGTTGCTCGCCCCGGGCTGCCCGTGGATGTGCTCCGGACACGGTCTGTGCGACAATGGCCGCTGTGTGTAAGTCAACCAGACGTCTCCGCTCCGCCGACCAACTTGACAAGTTTGGTCATTTTTACACTTATTTTCTGACTACATGTAAACGTTATACCTACTTTCACACAGGTGCGACAAGGCTTATGGAGGGACACACTGTGTGCCTTTGGCCCAACTGCCGACTGTGCTGAGAGAAGACTTTAATGAGAACCTGCAACAGGAGACATGGCCGGAGGTGTACGGAGCGGAGAGGGGAACTCTGAGCGGAGAGCCTCTTAAATCTGGCACCGCCCTCATATTCAAAGGGGTACAGGTCCTCATGCAGAAAACATCCCAAGCATAAAATACAGCGGCAATTGATATCTCTAGATCAATGACTCCTCTTAGGTGACAAACAATGTAATTCTGCTCTTTTTCTTTGCAGGACGGTCTGCGAATGATCGTCTCTCGGGATCTGGACTGCACCAACACTCTCTACATCCAGTTCTCCTTCAAATTCATTACTAAAGGTAATGTATAACTTGTTTTTTTCTGGTGTAGCTGTACTAATCATAATATTGTCCTAACAGGGGTTTTTGTTGGCTTTTCTAGGCGTCCCAGAGCGCTCCCATTCAGTGCTGCTGCAGTACTCTGTGAACGGAGGAATCAGCTGGTTGATGTTGGATGAGTTCTATTTCCCAGCTTCCACGGACACTCTGTTCCTCCACCTGCCACTGCCGGCCAGCGCTCAGACCAACGCCACCCGCTTCAGACTCTGGCAGCCCTACAACAGCGGTGAGTGGACACATTGCGGGGTTGCAAACAAAAAGATCACACAGTGCTCTTGCATTTATTTTCTGTTTCTTAAAGACTCACAACCTGAACCAGCAGAATCCGTCTAACAGTTTGCACGATATACATGATATCCTGCAGGAAAGAAAGAGGAGGTGTGGGTCATAGATGATCTCATCATTGATGGAAGCTCCCTACACAACCCACCAACGGTGATAGACAGCTTTGACGAAGGTCCCAATGAGTCCAACTGGTTGTTCTTCCCCGGAGGAAACACTGGACTCTACTGTCCCTACCAGAAGACTGGAATGTATGTCGACAATGGCCGTCGTAATCACCTGTGAACCAAGTGATGATATATCTTGCAAAAAGATGATTTTACCATTGACTAATATTTGTGTGTGTGTGTGTGAAAGTGTCAGCGAGGAGGACGACTCAGCAATGGTGTTTGTCTCCAGCGAGCTCGGCGAGCACTCCATCACCACGCGGGACATTGACGTAAATGAGAACACTATCCTCCAGTTTGAGGTACACAAACACCACCTTGACTTCGTTTTCCAAAGCAACAATGACTCGTACTCAATGAAACACACAAAACCATGGCTCGTCTTCATCACCTGTATTGTGTATATTAATGCATCTCCAGATCAATGTCGGCTGCACATCTGAAAGCAGTTCCTCCCACCCGGTGCGTCTCCAGTTCTCACGGGACTTTGGTGCCACGTGGCACCTTTTGGTGCCCCTGTGTGCCGGTGGGCCCCAGCCCTCCTCGCTGTGCTCCACGGAGCTCAACCCTGCCAGCGTCTACTTCCCTGGTACAACTCAGGGCTGGAGGAGGGAGGTTATTCACTCTGGAAAGCTTCGCCTCTGTGGGTAAGGACCGAGTATATCCCTAATCAGCAGATACGTAAGTGAAAAAAGGGGAATCTTTATTTATTCATCAGGGGTTGATGAGTCTCTCTAATCCTGGCATTTTGACCCCCCTTGCAGGTCAGTGAGGTTCCGATGGTACCAGGGTTTCTTTTCAACTGGTTCTTCTCCTCCAACGTGGGCGTTAGACAACATCTACATTGGCCCACAGTGTCAGGACATGTGCAACGGCCACGGTACTTGTGTGGGTGGAAGCCACTGTGTGTGTGACCCCGGCCACTCTGGATCTGACTGCTCTGTGCCCGACACCCCCAACCCCGATTTCTTAAAGGAGGACTTCGAAGGTACACATCGGAATCAGGAAATAACAGTTTATCGAAAACGTATATCTGAGGGAACCTGTGTAATGTGTATTGGTGCACAGAAGATAATGGTCTTTAGTTTTTCAGTACATAAAATGATGGATTCATGCTTTTGTGTTTACTGTTGCGTGTGTTTTTTCTACATCCTTGTGTCTGTAGGGGGAGCTGTGGATGCGGAGCGTTTCAGACTGCTGAGCGGGGGCAAACCATCCAGGAAGTGTGGCATCATGTCGAGTGGAAACCACCTGTTCTTCAGTGAGGACGGCCTGCGCATGTTGGTCACCAATGACATGGACCTGGCTAATGCTAGGTAGAGCTACAGCCCCACCAAACAAAACAAAGCAACCTATCCACTCCTTGCATGCACTAACACCACCACGAGGTTGCTGTTGTTGAATTGACACTCTCTTGTGATGCCCATGTGTTTGTGAATGCGCCCTGCAGGTTTGTTCAGTTCTTCCTGCGCCTCGGTTGTGGTAAAGCTGCTCCAGACCCTCGCTCCCAGCCGGTTTTGCTGCAGTTCTCGGTGGACGGAGGACTCTCCTGGGGCCTCCTGCAGGAATTTCTCTTCAGTAACAGCAGTAATCAGGCTCGCCTGGTGGCCTTGGAGATCCCTCTGCGTGCTCGCACGTCTTCCACTCGCCTCCGCTGGTGGCAGCCCTCAGAGAATGGACACTTTTATAGCCCATGGGTCATTGATCAGGTACGCTAAGTGAGGATCCATCCAACCACCCCTCCATCATTCAGTCTTTTAATCATTTTCATTCAAGCAGTGAAACCCCGGGGCTGTCATCCATCCAAGCTTTCACTTTTCATAACCGAGCAATACAGTTTCTTCACATTTACTTTGCAAACATCTATCCTTTCTTCCCTAGGTGGTAGTAGGCGGCAGTGCCAGTGGCTGGGGACCTTTGGAAGATGACTTCTCATCAACTGACGGGCGCTCATGGCTCCTCCACCCTGGAGGAACCCGAATGCCCGTTTGCGGGTCGGATGGGCCAGCTTTCGCTTTTATAGAAAAGTCCAACACTCGCTATGCTGTCACCACTGACATCAGTCTGGGTCCAGACGCCTTCATCCAGTTTGACTTTTCTGCTTCCTGCTCTGTCACCAACTCCTGCTACTGTAAGCAATAAGAAGTGTGAATGTGCTTTTCAACTGAAAATTATTGGAACTCTGGCAATTTCTTTTTAAATAATGAATTATTTCTTTTGTCTATAAAACCTCAGAAAATATATTCAAGCGGTTTACATTTCTCATGCAGCTTCTCGGATATAAATCATGTAGACAACGCTGTGTCCCTTGTTTCTCTGCAGCGGTGGAGTTGGAGTATTCTCTGGATCTGGGTCTGACCTGGCAGCCTGTGGTCAGAGACTGTCTGCCTACGAGCCCCGACTGCTCCTCCTTTACGCTGCAGAGGCTGCTGGTTTCTGACACATTTAACAAGTGGGGCCGCATCACCCTGCCCCTCCCATCATATGCCAGGTCAGCACTGCCCTCAATCTCACACATGGACTGTATATCCTTATCATAAGCATTTACCGTTTAATTTCTTTCCTATCTATTAAGTTTAAACACAACCTGTGGGGACTTCAGTGACTTGTGATGTATTTCTTTAGGTCTCCGGCCACGAGGTTCCGTTGGTTCCAGCAGGCTCCGTTTGACAAGCAGCAGACGTGGGCTCTGGATAACCTCTACATCGGAGACGGCTGCCCAGATATGTGCTCTGGACACGGACGCTGCCAACAGAGCTCCTGTGTGTAAGTAACGGCAGACTTATGCATGTGTGTAATGTCTGAACTTGTTTTTCTTTAAATACATTACTCCTCCGAGCTTTGTATAGGTTTGTGGCCATGTTGTTTCATCAGTTCGGGATGTGGAATGAGAAATATCGTGTGGCCTTTATGATTCATTTCATTTCATCACGTGAAGTTACTGTAACCCGTACGGCAGTTTTATCTTTATATCTAATTATGTGTATCTGACTCGACCGTCCCCCCCAGGTGTGACCCCGAGTGGGGCGGAGAGTACTGCGATGAGCCCGTGGTTCCTCTGCCCTCCCAGCTGAAGGACAGCTTCAGCCGAGCTCCTTCCCTCAGCCACTGGCACGTACTCACCGGCGGGAAACTCAGCACTGTGTGTGGAGCCGTGGCCTCTGGAGCTGCTTTGCACTTCAGTGGGGTGAATATACATCCGTACCCTTGTCGTTTGATTCTTTTCTGTTCTGAAATGATCCCCAACGAAGGATTTGGTGAAGATTAAATGTATGTTTATATTCGGGAAAATAGAGTTTTCACACGCTGTTTGGTTTTTCCTCTGAATTAAATGATCCGGTCCTAATGTCTTTATGCGAATATGATCTCTGCATTGTCCTCCCGCAGTAGTCCTTCCGTCTGCAGTAAAGACACGTGCTGATTCAATATGGCAAATAGATTATATAGAGAAAGATGCTGCATCAAGGCTCATTCTGTCAGTAAGGTGTCAGACTTCAGGTTTTCCTGAGGCACTGTTGATTTTCTTAAGTCAGTTTTGCGATTGTGGTTATGTTTCAACAATGTTTTGTGTTAATATCAGAGGATGGTTTTATTTTCGATGGATTATTTGTCAATGAGAGAATAGAGTAGAAATAGAGTAATAGCAGATAACAGATCACAGCAGACTGAGCCTCTCACTTCACCTCTACATGTGTCCGTGCTCAGAGCTGCAGCCGTCAGCTGGTCACAGTGGACCTCAACCTGACCCACGCCGAGTTCATCCAGTTCTACTTCATGTACGGCTGCATGATCCCACCCAGCAACCGTAACCAGGGAGTGCTTCTGGAGTACAGCTTGAATGGAGGAATCAACTGGCACCTGCTGACAGAAATCTTCTATGATCTGTACACCAAGCCCGGGTGAGTTTAAGTCAGCGTGGACTCATTTACATGATCTGTCCGGCCTGCAGTATATGTGTGACTTTCTTTGTGTTTTTCTTCCTCGTTCAGGTTCGTGAATGTGCTGCTGCCCCCTGCTGCCCGCCAGGAGGGAGTACGTGTGCGCTGGTGGCAGCCACAACATGAGGGAGCAGACAGCGGTGATTGGGCTCTGGATAACATTCTCATCGCAGGCTCGGACCCACGGGCGCAGATATCGGACACGTTTGGAGGGGTGGCGCTGCCCAACCACGAACGAACCCCTGCTGATGGGACCTCAGGACGGATAGGGCAGCTGAGCGAGCAGGAGGAGACACCTATAGGTACTGAATCAGTGTCTCAATGGAACAATATACAGGAATGTGGAATCCTCTTTAAACTAAACTAAACAAAGCCTCTTGTTCTGCTTCTCCGCCGTCAGTGAGCGACCATTGGTTGTTCTCAGAGGACTGCTCAGTGCAGCGTTTCTGCAGCTCCCCTGATGGAGTGATGGTGTGTGGCAATGCTGATGGGAGCGAGGTGTACGCTGTAACACATGATATCATCCCCGACAAGGGGTGGGTCATGCAATTTAAGGTAACTGACGAGCCTAAGCTGACTCCCATGCAAATGCAAGTTCCTCGTAGTGCACTGATGGATGATTTTAGTGAGTAAAAAATAGTCCATTTGCGACGATGGTGACGTTGTCAATGTTTGTGTTGCTTTAGATCGCAGTGGGCTGTGTTGAGCCAGAGCGTCACGCGGAGCGACAAATCCACGTGCAGTACTCAGTGGACTTTGGAGTGACCTGGAAGTACCTGACGCCGCAGTGCCTGCCTGCTGACCCCCGCTGCGGTGGTCAGGTCTCCCAGCCATCAGTCTTCTTCCCTGCCGAAGGCTGGAAGAGGGCAGTCTACCCGCTGGCCGACAGCCTGGCCGACACGTGAGTCGTCCTACCTCATATGTACCTTCACTCGCTGCTAGACTAACACAGCACTGCTTCATATTCAATTGTAACTTCAACTCAATTATTGAGGAGTGAAATTGTTGTTATCTTTTAAATTATTAAAACTTCTGTCATATGAATTATAAAAATAAAATGCATGTTGTTTGAAGAACCCTCCCTGTCTTCTTTTTGCAGTGCGGTGCGGTTCCGGTTTTTCCAGCAGCACTCAGACATCCAGTGGGGCGTGGAGAACTTTTACATCGGGCCAGCGTGTGACGGCCACTGCGGAGGACATGGAGATTGTCTGGATCAGCGCTGTCTCTGTGACCCGGGGTTCACCGGACCGAACTGCTATGCCAGCACTCCGCTAAAGGTACAATCCGGCCGTCGCTAAAGTCAGATCCCTAAAGAAAAAAAGGGAAGTAGAATTTGATGAATCTGATCTGTGTGTCTTCTTTCTGTAGGCGTCTCTGAAGGAGCGTTTCGACTGGGAGGGGGCAGCAGGCCCTCAGTGGCAGGTGCTGGAGGGCGGGAGGCCCTGTACAGACTGCGGTGTGTTGGTTGAGGGGACAGCCCTGTACTTCGGAGGCGCTGATGCCAGACAGGCTGTCACTGCAGATCTGGACCTCCGCGGAGCAAAGTAAAAACCGCAGCAGGAAGTTTTCTGCTTTTATGGATTTAATGCGATTTCATATCAATTGTTTATAGTATTAGTTCACTAGAATTTCTTTACTGTTTCAGTAAACCTGCTGTTGTTATTGCCGTGATATTACATTACATTACATTACAGGTCATTTAGCAGACGCTTTTATCCAAAGCGACTTACATTACACTTTAAACCCATGGCTTTTTCACATTTTTGCCTGGGGAGCAATTAGGGGTTAGGAACATGGGGCAGCCTGGACTCCAACCACCAACCTTGTGCTTCCCAGCACACCTTCTCTAACCCCTGCGCCACAATGATCCCATATTACTGCTGAACATTTAAACTGTGATTGTGTGTATAGGTTTGTGGAGTACTGGGCCAGGATTGGAAGTGACGATAACATGACCATGTGCCACCGTCCGACTTGTCGTAAAGAGGGAGTGCTGCTGGACTTCTCCACTGACGGAGGTCCACACAACATGCATACCTCTCCTTTTTTATCATCACCCGTTCATGATTTGTCCTCTTCTTAAATTCATTGTGTTTGTCTATACCTGTTCCTCAGGCGTGTCCTGGACACTGCTGCACGAGATGGATTATCTGAAGTACGTGTCAGTGAGGAGAGACTATATCGTCCTCCCTGAAGGAGCTTTGACCAACGCTACTCGCCTGCGCTGGTGGCAGCCATTTACCATTTCCTCTGGCCTAGCCACCCCAAGTCTGGAGAGGGCCCAGTGGGCCATAGACAACATATTGGTGGGGGGGTCGGACATCAACCCACCCACTCTGCTCGACACGTTTGATGATGGTGAGTTCGTTTGGTTTGATGAAAACGTTTTCTTTTTTTGCACATTTGCTCTTCTCACTCTTCTCTTTTTATGTCTTCACCTTTCGCCAGAGGGCGTTTCCCACGAGGAGAGCTGGAGTTTCTACCCCAACGCCGTGCGCACAGCTGGCTTCTGTGGAAACCCCTCCTTCCACTTGTACTGGCCCAACAAAAACCAAGACAAGACACACAACATCCTGGCCACACGGGAACTCATAGTGCAGCCCGGTTATATTTTACAGTTTAAGGTACAGTATTACAAGAGAGCCGCAGACGTGCCATATCAAACGCTGTCCTTTAGTGAACATCCGTCTCGTTGATGCAGATTGTCGTCGGTTGTGAGGCAGACACCTGTGGAGACCATCATTCTGTCCTGCTGCAGTACAGGAAGAATGCAAGGTAAAGAAGACATGGAGGGGCCTGATAAAGAATTCAACCTTGACATAACAATAAAAGGATTGTTTGAAATGTCTAAATAGTTATTTATTTTATATGACAGTCAGGACAGGTGGTGCAATGACGTGATCTAAAACATGAATGTTAAATATCAGGTCAGTAGCATAGGCTTATACTACTAGCCAAACTTTACACCCAACATATACCTTGGTTATGGTAATAGTTTTTTTTTTTTTGTAGAATTGACTTTTGCATGGACAGGTTTAAACTCTCAGGCCCTCCCTTCAGGTCCGACTCGTGGCAGCTGGTACAGTCGGAGTGCCTCCCCTCCTCAGTCAACAAGGTGGGCTGCTCTCCCTTCCAGTTCCACGAGTCCACCATCTACAGCCCAGTCAACAGCTCAACATGGACTAGGGTCACTGTGCAACTGCCAGACCACGTCTCGTCAGGGTAGGAGCACTGGAACATATCATGACTTACTGCAGGTTCATTTTTAAATTCATATTTTATACATGTTGGAGGAGTCTAGCCCATTTGGTGTTTTCTTCTATATTTCCAGGGCTACCGAGTTCCGCTGGATTCAAAAAGAGGGGACAGGAGAGCGGCAGAGCTGGGGAGTGGACCATGTCTACATCGGTGAAGCCTGCCCGGGGCTCTGCAGCGGCCACGGCTACTGTACGAGCGGAGCGGTCTGCATCTGTGATGAAGGACACCATGGTGGGCCACAAGCTGAAACGCACAAGACTACTTCTCATCGCTGCTGTTCAGATAAAATGTCTATTATTGATGATAGGATGATGCGCTGGAATAAAGAAAAAATGTCCAACCAAATGTTCCCATGTGATTGAGACACACCTTCAAAAGAAAGCTTGAAAGTGGTTTTCCGTCTCAGTTCCCAAAAAACATGGCTTTCGCTGTTCCTTTTACCATCAATTTCAACCACACCAGCTTGTGGCCTGCCGTCTCTATTTCATACAATTTCATCATCTCCCCTCCGCTTCCTCCCACCGCAACAGGTGACGACTGCTCCCTCTTCGGCAGCGACCTGCCCAGCTCCATCAAGGACAACTTTGAGTCCGGCAGTATGTCTCCGGAGAGCTGGCAGTTGATCCAGGGTGGCGGAGTGGGCAGCGGTTGTGGTCAGCTGTCACCGCACGCCCACGGAGACTCACTCTACTTCAATGGCTGTAAGATGAGGCAGGCAGTTACCAAACCGCTGGACCTCACAAGAGCCAGGTACAGGTACTGGCAGAGTATACTGTGCATGAACCAAAGATGTAAATGTAGACTTACCTGTCTCACAGCTACCATCGGAATTGAATCGTCAACCTTTAATCTTTTCTTCCTCAAACCTTCTGTCTTTTTCCTTCCCTCTCTGTCTCTCTACAGTAAGATCATGTTTGTGCTGCAGATCGGCAGCCTCGCGCAGACAGACAGCTGTAACATAGCTCTGGATCAGCCCGACACGGTCGACCGGGCCGTGCTGCTGCAATACAGCGTCAACAATGGAGTGAGCTGGCACGTAATCGCACAGCACCAGCCCAAAGACTTCATAAAGGCCCAGAGAGTGTCCTACAATATTCCACTGTGAGTGACACGCAGATACACTGCTTTCAAATAATGCAGCATTTCTTTTTAAGCTTCATGTGTTGTTATGTAACTAATGGCTTTACTTATTTATCCGCTTTTACTAACCAGATGTTAAATGGTAGTTTTACTTTCTGATAAACCATAAGCTAGCGCTCCTCATTTGTAAACGTGATTAGGTTGTCAGTAAATCCATTTGTACCCGGATGCTCTACAGCTGCTTTCCAGGTGGTAAGTCCACGTGAGGAGTGTTTAAATAGCTAAAAGGACAATGTCATAAGGTTGGAAGATCTGCCAAAGAGATTTTTTACCGGCTCAAACTTTTTCATCCAGGGTTTAGAACTGATCTATTAATCATTTTAAAATGATGCACTAACCATCAATAAAGCCATCCCTTAAATGTTTCAAACCCTTTGTAAAAAGGTGTATTAGATTAACTTCATTTGAATGGTTTGAAGCAGCGATAATCTTCCACATACTCGTTGATTCTAACTGATTCCGTAAATTCGTCCCATAATCTCTGCAGAGAGGCGCGAGTTAAAGGGGTGATGCTGCGGTGGTGGCAGCCACGCCATGACGGCGCAGGACATGACCAGTGGGCGTTGGACCATGTGGAAGTAGTTCTGTGAGTACCCAATTCCCGGCCTGCCCCGGGCATCCCAGACCGGTCCTCGAAAGATCCCCGATCTGCCCTGTCTGAGCCTCCGACTCAGCCTCACCTATAGATACAGTCCCCTCAGACACGGGGATACAGCGTACACATGCCTATAGTGCAAGCACGCCTACGTGTGTGCTGCTCACCACCAACAACCAAACCAACCAAACATCTCCAAAGCGGCTGCAATGTGCTTTCCTGTGAAGAGTTCTGTTTGTGGATGGCTGCTCTGTGTGCGACGGATCATCATATTTTCAGTGTCTTGAAGAACCCACGCATCTCCCATACAGGCAACTTCAAGAATGGGTGTGTTCTTTCACTGAAATGTCTAAAAAGTAAATTCGACCTAAAACATTGAAAGGTTTTGGTTGTGGTATATGAGTTTTTAAAAACATTCTTGGATATGTTTGCTCTTGTAATGAAATGCTAATTAGAGGTGAACCATTCCTTCACTTAGCCAAAAACATAGTCCAGTCATGACTCTATAAATCAAAGACACTGGGAAGGTGGCTCCACGTTGAGGTCTTCTACTGTGAAGTTAGCATTATCACAAAAGGTTCATAGTCTGACTGGTCTTGTTTTCATTTTCACATTTTTTCCATGCGGAACAATGCTGCTGCATTTCGTTCTACTGGAAATAAGTAATTTAGTAATTCAATGGAAAACACCTTTTAGTTAAACCAGGATCATTAACATTTCTTTATGTAAAAGACAATGTAGGTTTAAAAATAAGTGGCAATGCTGGAGATTCTGCAGGGCACTGAAGGTATCATGGAAATGCTATATCTGGCTAGCAGCTTCTTGAAAACGGCAATATCATGAAGCGTTTTTGTTGCATTTAGCGCATGTTTCCGTGGGTGTCAGAGCAATGTTCCCTTTGAAGTAGATGCCGATTGTTCATTCAGAATGGGTACCCGATGCATTTCAAATGCTGCATAACAACAACCACGTCAAATGCTGTAATGTACCACAGCCTAACGCAGACAAACACACATTTATGCCTAACCTGAGCTGTCCCTGGTCTACGTGGTTGTGACCTGTCACACTTCCCCTCCCTCGCACGGTTTTCAACAGTGTCTGCTGAAAAGAGTGGCCGTGATCCTCACACTTTGCTCTGTTGTTTATTTCTCTCTGCTCACCACACCTCCGCTCCTTCACACATCCTTCCTCTCCTGCTCCTGCTCAATCTTATCTTTTGCCCCGCGCGGCTCTCCTCCGCGCCGCTTAATGTCCCCGACGTGTTGGAACGTGTGGTCATGCTCACTCCCCTGCTTGTGCCGCATCGTGTCCTACCTTCCTTCATCCTCACCCTCCTCCTCTCTCTCTCTCTCTCTCCTCCTTTCCTTGCTCCAAACTTGCTGTTTCCCTTTTTCCTCCCGTCCTCTTCCCTCTCTGGCATACGGCGGATGGATTACTGCTGTATATCTCTCTGTCTTCTCTACTACTTGTGGTTTTCTCTCACGTTCCCGTCATCTTACTCTTCTGCTCTGCATTCTTATTTTTTTAATTCTGTCTTCCTCATTCTCTCCGTCTTTCCCAACCACTATCACGTCTTCTTCTTCGAACCTCTGACTTTCCTTATGCCTCTTCTCTCTCCCTCCCCTCCCTCTCCCCACTTTGGGCCCCTGCCTCCCCAGGGCGGGGCTCCTACCCCCCCAGACCTTTCTGCGCGACAGCAGTCCCCTCCTCCTGCTTCCCCCCTCTCGCGCTCTAACTTCTGCTCTCTTCTGTATTCTGCTCCCTCTGGCATGGCTGTAGCGTGAGGTAAGTTCTCCGCCTCTTCCTGGATGCAGCCCCCTCCCCCCGCCCTCCCTCCAGCCCTTTCTTCTCCCCGTTGCACTGTGCCCGCCCTGCCTCACTCCTCATCTTCATCACCACAGTCATCTTCATGCCCTCGTCTCAACTCGAGCCCCAGGCAGGTCAACAAGCAGGCCAGCCGCTCACAGTTCTCAGGTGGAGGCTCGCGGACTAAATTATCCAGCGTATAGAACATAGGCTTTCGTTGTCGACGTTGATCGCTTTCTTTTTGGATTCAAATCCTTCTTCTAAATGATCAGAATCATTTTTTTATTTTCTAGCATCCAGTATATTTTTCAGCATTTTTCACTGCTGCTCTGTCGCAATGGTCTCTGCCCCATCGAGAGATGAGCTTGAAATGAAACTGGGTCTACTATTTAAAACAAGCCAAAGGAACAACAAGGATTTGAAAGTGTCTTGTTCACCTTGCAGCTTGCTTGTTTCTAAATCTGGATATAGACAGTACCAACCCTTTCTGCCACCTTAACGGACGATCATTATGTCAAAGTCCTGCACTCCAGTTTTAAGGGACAGCCCAAAAACATATTCACAGCAGCACGTCAACAGGGCAAAAACCAGCGGCAAAATCTATCAGGGTTCAACACCACGTCACCATGGTGACACAATCAAACGCTGATTTTGAATGTGCAGTTTACATAATCCTCAAGACGTTTTGAATGTGATATTTTACGTATACAAATGTCAGTGGTACGGTGTTGGTGTGTATACATGTGATGTAATCCATCACTATTCTTATATCTGTTTGTTTTGTTCCAAAGGTGTTGTTGACCTTTAGCTGATAATTCATACATACAGTTAAAAGACAACCTACTTTAAATAGTTGTTTCGGGGGTCCAGCATTCATCACACTCAAGCCCAAGCATCAAAAGTATTTTTTTTACCAGCATCAGTTGCGATGCAGGGCATCATTCATTTGAAACGTAGGTCCTCACGTAGGACTCGCCTCCTCCATCCGGCTCCTTGCACGGCGTTACTGTTGCCACAGCTCTCCATCCCTCTTTCACTCATGGCTGTGTGTCTGTCCGTGGACAACAACAACATGATTCTGAGCCAGGAGCTCCCTTCTCACTACCCTTCTAATCTTTGATCCAATATCTGAAAAAAGAAAGAAAAAAAACAAAAAAGCACACACACAAGCTCATGCAGTTCACCAGCCATCCCCTCCCATCCGCATTCACACCCCACCTCCCCAGCATCAACCATCACATACAAACACGCGCACACACGCACAAACTACCCCCCCCCCCTCCTCCCCGCTTCGCAGAGGCCCCTGCCTGCCCTGGCTGCACTCCTGGCTCACTGGCAACGCCCTGCTGGATGGAAGAGGCAATGAACAGGCTAAGCAAGAGCGATCCTCCGCGGCTTTTCTCTGTGTCTCTTAGTTTCAAATCCACCCCTCCTCTGCTCACAACCCTGCACTTGTGTGGTCCCGGTGATGGCTGTTAACACCTCAAACACTCACTGTCAGAGTCTGTCCCGCCCCCACGCCCTTAGCATCTGTGGTAGTATTGTTTGTAGATTGTATGTCCCGTGTCTTGTCTTGTGACATTTGGTCTTAGATACACGTAGTCCTACTGCAATCATGTAGCTGCATCTCATCCGTGCAGAACGTAAACAAGTCCAGCTGTGTAGAGTAGCGGCACCCCTTCTCCGAGCCATGAGACCCCACACTGGTGTTGAGTGTTTGAGGTTATGGCTGAAAATGATTTTTTTTAAAGTCAGCATGAAAACGGATGTGAGTTTGAACGAAAGCCGCATTCAACCATTGGTGTGTTTGCGTGCATGGACGAGAGAGCGCGTGCATGGGGGTGCGTGGATTTCTATTGGCCTTTACTCGGTCACTAATGTTCACACTCCTCCTCTTTCCTCTCTCTTTCACTGTGTTTGTATCCCTGCAGCACCCGTAAGCAAAACTACATGATGAACTTTGCCAGACAGACCGGCACACGTCACTATTACAGCCGCAAGAGGCGGGCACTGCAGCAGCGTGCCTGAACCCCCCCCCCGAGAAGAAATTCGCCCTCTGACCTGCCAATCACGCATTGATCCGCCATGTCCATCCTCTCTGCTCCCGACGACGCGTCGCCCTGTCGAGTCCCTTCCACCGGCGGATTCCAGGCGACCTTAGACCTCCCTCACCCATCTCTCCCTACCCTCTGCCACAAACACCAGGCCATCCAATCAGCTTACGCCAGCCAATCAAGGCCTTCGCCAACCACACGGATCGGTGGGAATGAAACTCGGAAGAAGGGAGCAAAGCGGCCATTCTGTTTACTTTTCTCCATGGACGGTCGGGGTTTCTAGTTGTTTTCTAATTGTTGCTGTGGTCCCTCTGATTTCTCAGACAACCCCCCCCCCCCTTCCGGCTTCACTCCCCCGTCACTCACCTTGCCTCTCCTCGCCCTCCTTTTCCCACCACACTGTGAAATTGAGATAAAATATCACTGCTGAACTGACAAGCCGATTGGAGAGTTTCCTTCCAGTTCAACTGAGCCGTCGGGGGGGGGGGGGGGGGGGGGACCTCTCCGCCACCGCCAACCAGTTCGCCAAAAAGGGCGTGCAGGATACCGACCATTAAGAGGAAAAACGGTGATGAAGAAGCGGGAAAAAAAACAAAAAAATAAGAGTACTGTGTTCTTGCTGTTCTGTGTGTCTTTTTGTGATGAGTTGACTGTGGTGTTCCGTTCATTTGTTTGTTCGTTTTCTACTAATTCATACAGTATGCTTTTAAAGGGGGAGGGGATTTCTGTTTCCTTTTCGTTGTTTATCTGGAAAGTATTCGGGCAGGGTGGTAAAAACCTTGACCTGCGCAGGAAGAAGGAACGACAGAATGATTTGCACGACGGGAAAAGAAAATAAGAAAAAATGCGAGACTGAACATTGACTTTTGTTTTCTTTTAGTCATTTTTTATATGTGTTGGCTCCCGAAAGTACAGATATTTATGGTAAATGGTTCTTCACGTAACCTATTTAAGATGCACTGTGCGTGAAATCTGTATGTTATTTTCTAGTGTTAAGTTATTAGGCGGTCGAGTCAAGCTCTCAGACTGCATCATCTCCCCTCTTCTTTCTCTTCTCATGTGCTGTTGCGCCCCCCCAAACCCCCCAAACCCCCACCTCCTCTCTTTACTGATTTCTGATACCTGGAGGTGAGGCTCTATTAGTGTTGTTTTTTGAAGTCTGTGTAATATGGACCCTCTGCCCTCAGTGTAACTCCAGTATAGCAATCTCCTGTATATATACGTGTATATCCACTATGGGGAGACCCAGCAGCCTTATAAAAGGGAAATAAAGAACTGTCCAAACCTCATGTTGTACACATTGTTTGAGCTGCTCTCTTTTGCTCTTAAAAGCAAAACCTGTCATTGCTTTATATTTTTCCCAGTTAAGAGTTGGTATGTCTTGATACTCTGCCACGAGCTCCTTACTGTTAAATCCTGGCAATTAAATAATTTCACCGCATCTGTAGGGAACATTCAGCTGCAAATTAATAACCATTTAGTGCTCTAGAGAATATTTATAGTATTAGCAACAGGGTGGTGAATGTAAATCAACGCAATAGTGTTCCTTGTGCTGAAGGGACATGGCACTCAGTGGGAAATTGGGCCCCATTTGTGCTTTAAATAGTTTTCAGACATCAATGGGGCTCTAGAGCACATAGGAAGCACTGTGGAAAATACATTACCAGCACAGTTATGTGTGTATATAACCAATTAAACAAAGAATGTGTATTTAAAGCTTTATTTGTAGACATTAAAACTCTTTAAAATAGTGTTAGAAAATAAAAGGAGAGGCTAAAATCTCTGGCGGGCGCACAGCTTGGTGTCTTTAGACGGGAGATTCGCCGTATACCACTGCAGGCTCTTTGCATTACTTGATGCTGAGGCTGCAGATACTTCACACCAAGGCTCACTTTATACATCCCCTCCCCTACATAAATCCATACCACAGGGCCCTGGGTGTCTTTGGTCACCAGGTCATCACTGTCATGAGTGTGACAGTGATGAAGAGTAAATTGGCTGAGAGGCCCAGGCAGGAGTTACAGTACGGGGAATCACAGCAGCTGTAGCTCATGGTGTAGGCAGTTCCCTTGAGCGTGATGCTGTGCACCTGGCTGCAGTCCTTCTTCGCCATGCAGCCCCTGGCCGACAGCGCGCTGTGGTTGCCATAGCGACCGTCGGCCTTAAAGCAAAGCTCATCGGGAGGGCACTCGGTCACGATGAGCTTAAACATCTTCCCCTTCTCCAGGATGGGGCTGTAGTAGCAGAACCGGTTGTCACACAGCAGCGGGGGGACGAGAAGGTAGAACCACAGCGCGGAAAGGTGCAGGAGCTGCGACATGTTGGGCCTGCAAAAGAGGCATTTGGTATTTCACCAAAGTAAAAAAGGTCCAATCTTGTGGAAATTGAAAAGATAAAAAAAAAAAACATCAATGAGAGAGAAGAAAACAGTTTCGCGGGATCCACACATTTATAGTTCATTTCACCAGCAAATAAAAGGTTCATTTGTGGTCCAAGGGAGAGGGGAAGGACAGTGGGGGAGGAAATGGCTCTCTCCGGGTCTCGTAGCTGGTCTAACTGGCTTTGCATGGTTAGCATTCACCACGTCAACGCAAGTTACATATAAAAACAGGAAAACATTTTTTCCTCCCATGTTAATGCAGCATTTATCGTACTATACTTACCCAGTCTATGGCTTAGTCACTTAATACATTACTTGACAAATCTCCATACAGGTTGTAATGTAACAGATTTCAGCCGCCTTAAGACGCCACGAGTCCAACATATAAATCAGAGTTCCATATCTCTTAATCGGTTTAATTCCCCATTTAAAACAATCACCAATTACAAAGCCAAATTCCTGACTTTCCTAGCAATTATTGGTTCTTCTGCCACAGCTGTCAGCGATCTTCACTGATTGGCACATTCAAAATGATTAAGGCAGTAAAGGCAGAAAGAGATGACAGACAGTTACAATGTGCAACTTAAAAATAATAACTCACCTGCGCATTTAAGATTTTAATTTCAGTCAAACAGGTCAAACTTTTTAGAGCTTCTCCTGATGGACCCCGCTCTCACCACTGACACCAGGTATTTCAGCACAGGCCACACCTCCAAGCACACCTGCTTGTAACAACACTGACTACACCAAGTGGGAGGCTTAATCATGGCGCTTTTATTTTGTAGCATTCATCAATAACCACAGGAATAATGTGATCGTTTACTCTGTACCAGGAGGATGGCTGACATGTCCACCTTTCTCTCTGGAGCAAAATGTTCTCAAACAAAACACGTACCACGATGTATCATTTTCTCAGTTACACATGGGTTTAGCGAAGATACCTATAATCACAAATATTTCCCCCAGTACTAGTGACCTTTTGGAGGCTCGGGTAAGTGCCTATGGCTAACAGGCCTCTCCTCAGACTATGATGCAGCGGCTGGTTACGTGGAGCTCCCGGATGTATAATTTGCACATGAGAGTTCCTCTCGAATAACATTAGTGCCGTTAGCGTCGTCTCTTTTGAATGCCATCATCCCCATCAGCAAACTCAGGTTCTTGGCAATCTTCGGCCGGACGTTGCATTGGTCTTTGCAACAGCAGGTGTGGCTGACGTTGTACTTGACCCCCCGGTAAGAGGTGATTTGGTGGGAGCCGCAGAGCTCGGTGTCCACGCAGCCCTGAGCGGACAGAATGTGCAGCGAGCCGTAGCGGCCTCTGGAGTTGGAGCAGCGCTGATCGGGGAGACACTGGCTGGTGATGTTGAGGCAGGACTGGCCTTTGTGCTGCAGGGGACAGTAGAAACACAGCAGGCTGTCCATGCCGAGAGCGGGCAAGACCAGAGCCATGGCAAACAGGATGGAGGTCAGGAGGCCGCGTGGTCCCGGCAGACGAGCGTCCTGACTGATGGAAATCCACCCGCAGAGTTAAATAGGAAGGTTAGAATGCAAACATACTTTGGCATCATTCGATACATTCACCAATTAGATTTCTTGTGTAGACGCTTTCAATAGTTTGTTTAGGCGTGATGTTCACCTGTTCCCGCTTTGTGAGTCCATCTTTTTGCGTGTAAAAACCCCTCTTAACGGGCAAAGACGCATCGACGTGAGAAAGCTCCAAATACCAGCAAAGCCCTCTGATTACTAAGCAGAAACTGGTGTGTATTTGAAGACCTTTCAACATAATCCAGGAATCATTTCAATAAGTCACACACAGGGCAAACTTCTAGTTGGGATTTTAGCTTCAAGTTTATTGCTGGAAAAAAAAATGTCATACTTCATCCTTGACACTGTTCAAAGTTCAGTTTTAAAAGTAAAGCTTAGAGCACCATCTGCTGCCTGCAGCTCTGCAAAGAACAAATCATGAAAGTGAGAAATTTAAATGAAATTACAGCTGTAGCTGTAGAATATCCAGGACGTGTCAACTCTCAAGTAGAAATTGTCCTTTTGATCTGCTACATTATTTTTCTTTCTCTTGGTTTCCCGGCTCTCCTTTTTCATCATAAAAAGGAGAGCTTTCCTTCCTTATACAACAGCTCCTGTAAAGAACAAAAGAAAACAAATCATTGATAAATTGAAATCATCGTGATAATTTGATTTTTTGCGGTCTGCTCACAGCCAGCTCCTCCTCCTCCTCCTCCCCCCGGCCCCCGCTGGCCTCCCACTCTCCTTCGTCCTCCGCGGGGTCGTAGCTGTACAGAGGAATCAGCCTGTGCCGCAGCTCATCTAATCTAAAGCCAAGCAGACAACATAAATCGAATGATATATTTACATGACATAAAATGCACCCAAAAAACCACTTACCTGGACTTCCTTCGGACATAAACAACCTGAAGAGAAGCACAACAATATAAACTTCAGTGATAAACCTAATTTTCAGTGAATGAAATATACAAAGCTATTCTTACCAATGCCATTACACATCCAATCAGTGTGAGCAGGACAAAGGGGATGAGTGCATAGTAACCAGGAAATCCCGGGTTGGGTTTTGAGGGTGAAATTGTGTAGTTGAAATGCATTTCTTTGGGCTTGATCTCCTCCCTCTGCTCGGCGCTCCTCAGCTCACATCTCTGTGACACATTCAGCGGCGCGGCGGCGTCGTCGTCTGCTCCGACTGAAGGGCCACGTGCGGCTCGCTCTGCCCCAGGAAGACTAGTAACTATTGTCAACCAGCAAACACTTTGCTAAGACGTTTGTAATCCAAGAATCGGTTCTCTCCACCTTTCAAATAGCATTGATGATTGTACATAGGGTGCCCTTTAATAGCATCCAAACCTTTTATGAGATAAGGAAACAAAAAAACTTACTGTAGATGTCACGTAGAGTACACAAACAGAAAGTTCCTGCCACTATCATTCAACTTGAGATGAGAAACACGGCAGCTGCATACCTTAATAACCTGCTCAATGACATTCCCGAGTAAGGTGTGGATGTGACGTGTAACCCTGGTTTAAATACACGCATAAGAAGTATTAGTAAGTAACGAGTATTTTTTTGATAAGAGTAACAAAAAAAACTTTCTTGATACGTATGTATCTGGTTTGCTTTTGCAAATTGAACCAAAATAAAACCTAATTTTCCTCTCACACGTGATGTAATGTACTCTTCCCTCCAGCAGAGGGGAGGTTTATGCATGGCGCAGAGGGAGGTGCAGGGGGAGGTGCAGGGTGGAGGGAGGGACAGTGGGAAGGTGGAGGAACATACTTGGGAGGCTTTCCGGCTCTGTGAGCAGGTCTAACTGGCTTTGCATGGCTCCAGTCTCTGGCATTCACCTCCTCAACACAGGATGGCTTTACAGGGACCCGCTTGATGGTAAGTGGCCAACAAACGCCAAACAAACGCTCACAATTCAGAGGTGGTATAATGTTGTTGATCGTTAGTACGTGTACCGTCTTGTTGAATCATGACGTTTTAGCACAAAGGCATTTAAACATAATCCCAATAATGTGTGTATCGTGGTGGTATGGAGGACTTTAGTCGTGTTTCACTTTGTCACACATGTTGCGGCGCTCGCTGGTAGATTTCCTGTTAAAATTTGAAAGCTTGTTAATAATTAGTCCAGCGGTGACCTGCAGCTTCCGTTAGACTGGAGTCCTCCCTGCGATATGTCTCATACACTAACCTAATCTACTCCCTTTTCATTCTGTTTTTATTTTAACAGCACTTCTGCATTCTGCCTTGTTATGAAGGGAGGACGTGCGTTAAGTGTGAGACGGGAGGACTTCCTGAAATGTGATGGATCCCAATCAAAGGCAAGCCAATGCATCCGTTCAGAGACAAGATGCCACTGACCTCCCCGGGCCTCTTACTGACGATCCTTTTGATCTCTACGAGAGCGCTGGGAAGATGTCCTCCACTGAAATCCAACCCAGCCCCCCCAGGCCACCACCAATCCGTCGCCCTCCTCCTCCGCTCAGAACCAGACTTCCCAGTGAATGTTTGCCGGGTACCAAAGGCCAAGCACCCGTTCCTTTACCTCGCAAGGGGCGAATACCCCTCAGCAACAGCAAGAAGCAGCTATCCTGTGACCTCACTGATCACGCTTCCAAACTGAACCGTTCCCGTTCGGAAATACACAATCATGTGAGTATGTGCCGATGTACTCTGGGACGATAAAAAGCTCCTTTTTGATGGAATCGAATGACCCGAAGTAACATCAACGAAGAGTGCAAACCGTCTTCTTGTCTTTTTTTTTTTTTTTTTTTTTTACATCAGGACCCATGGACGATCGCACTAATAGACACTCCAGAAGGCAGCACCAGGAGGCTGACGTCTTTTTGTGCAGCCACTTCCAGGTCAGAGGGTGTATGAAAATGAGTTCTGAACATATTTGTGACCCTTTCCCTCTGGCAACTTGTTCAACTTGATCCGCCGTCTCCGACAGCCTCATGTCACGACACCGGCACACAGACATCCTCCATAACTCGGGTTTGGTATGGAGTCGTTTGTTACGAATCAATCCGGCCCTCCTGCAGCAGGTGGAGGTGAATGTCAGCGTGGCCACCGAGTGGGACAATCACCAGCTCCCCTTCCGCACCGCGGGTAAGACCCACCAACGCGGTACCACAAGATCTCTACAGTTTGTACTGTAGAGAATGAAGAGAAACGTTACAAACTGTCGTCTTTTCTTTGATGTGAGCCTCTGTGAGGTCTTTGTCTCCAATGAAGCATCTTTATTTTTATGTTCAGTGAACAGGACAGTGAAGAGTCTGATCGATGAAATCTTCCAGCTGCTCGACCTCCCCCCCAGCCCAAGCGGATGTCATTATTTGAAACTGTGCAACTCCGATGAGTATCTCGAAAAGTAAGTCACTCATCCAGAAATGATCGTTTTATCTGTGAGTTGTGGTGTTCTGTTTCCACATTAAGTTAAGCTTGATGATGTCTCCTTAGTGAAGAACTGCTGGGCATGCACGAGAAGGTTCAGATCTCCTCCAAGCTAAAACTGGTCGTCCCCCTGCGACTGCTCCACGTGGACAACCTCAGACACCGTCTGTGCAGAGATGTAAGTCGGTTCAAACTCCTTCATTGTTGCAGCCTGAGGTGTAGATTATTTACCCAGAAGGGGGGGAGGGGCGATCTGCTCTCGCAAACACCCGTGCCTGGCCCCTCGCCAGCCTGTAGTTATCATCAGGGCTATTGTCCCTATAAAAATCTCCACCCTCGGTTCTTGACTTTGTCCTGTTTACACATCACGTCATGGCTGGAGGCATTAACAGCAAGAATGAAGTAGAATGAAGGTAAACCTAATGTAACCGATAGATAACTAGTCATGATATAGAACGTTTCCTTTTTTTCTCCAAGGGGGAGGATGACCGAACACCTTGCCAGCTGTACCAGCTCCTGCGTTCTGCTTGTGTCTTCAACACCTGCAGGTGAGCCTTTCAGTGGGTCACGTGTTGACCCGTGTCTGTTTGTAGACGACATAAGGACAGGTGGCTTTGTGTCGTGGTCCCCTACCGCGATGGCATCTGTGTGTGTGTGTTTAACCTGCCCCCCCTCTCTCAGGTTGAGCCTGCAGAATGTGCTCTGGAGCTACAACAGGGAGGTGTCAGAGCTAATGAGGAGTAAGGTGAGTGGACCGAGAGGGTAACCGGTGGGAGGGTTTCCCGCTTTTTTTTGCATTCTTCACCTCAGGATAATAATCTGAACCGGAATTTCTTTGTGTTTGCAGTCGGGGATGAACGTCAATGTGGTCGTGTCCCGCGTCCGGGTCATCAGTAATCTTCTGTGCGGGCTCTCGTGTCAGCAGCTGGAGGACGCTATCGGCAGTCTCAACAGAATCAATCCCATACCTCTGGTGGAGTGTCAAGCCTTTTTCTTCCCTCTCTAGAACAACACAACCATTTACGTCTTTAACCTTGTGTAATAATCTTTTAGAGATTTTAGATTACTTTTCTAACGACACAAAACAACGCTGTGTTTCCTCATATTTCGTTACAGAGTCATGATGAGATCTTTCAGTGTGAAACAGGTGAGCATGAGTGTTATTCAAAATGAGTGTTATTCAACTTCTCAGTGTGGGTGTTTAAGGGGGAAACATTTTCATTTCAAAACTAACCTGGATTACCAATAGTATTAAACCGGTATGAGTGTGAGATTTTCACCACGTAGTGCCCTCAAACCTGGTATAAATAGTGCTGGGAAGCACAAGGTTGGTGGTTTGATTCCAGGCTGCGCCATGTTCCATGTCGAAGTGTCCCTGAGCAAGACACCTAACCCCTAATTGCTCCCCGGGCAAAAATGTGAAAAAGCCATGGGTTTAAAGTATAATGTAAGTCGCTTTGGATACAAGCGTCTGCTAAATGACATGTAATGTAATGTAATAAATGGTTTATAACACTACAATTTAGTTGTAAGTCTATAACCTCTAAGCATAATCTGTTGTTTGAATCAATTATGGTTAAAATGCAGCACAAGGTCAGAATAATGAAAAAGTTGAGATTTTTTGACCAGAAATGTACAAAAAAGAACAAAATTACATTTGATATCTGCTTTTAATTCATACATACGCTCTTCATACATGTCATACGCTGTATGACATTCATATAGCGTATGAATGTCAAAGTAAAGTGTTACTTTACTGGTAATTAACCTTATGAATTGATGTTAATTCTCTGTATTCCAGCCATGATTGTGCTCCACAAGGAGCTGCTGAGATTGCTTCAGGTCTTCTTCAACAATTTCCAGTCAGACGTCCGATGTCAGGAAGAAACCAACAGCATGCAAATATTAGACGTTGAAGACAACTCTGAAATCCTCCAATTCAATATCTGTGCTCTGTACCAACTCCAGTCCACCTGGTTGATGAAGTATGTATTATAGTCACACACACACTGATACACAAACATGTGCACACGGATACAAATATTGATCATCATAAGTAGAAAACCTTTTATTGTGTTCTCTTTCTACCCTGTTTTCGTTTTAGCTATGAATGCTTCTCGGTATCCTGTGATTTGACGTATGGAGGAATAAAGATCTGCGACACAGGCATCTCTGAAAATATCTGCACCGCCTTGGCATCCGGGAACAAGATCCAGTGTAACCGCGTGTAAGGGCGTGATCTTGTCTCTAACTGTAAATGATCTCCCATTCGACTTCCTCTTCACAGAAGAATCGCATTGTTATTAAAAGAGGAAGTATAACTAGATCCAGCATCTTTAAGAAGAGTTTATTGTCCGTTTGTTTTTGTACGGATGCCATCATGGCGTCTATTTTTGATACAGAGAGTCAACAAAAAAGTGTGTGCAAATATTCAACGTGAACAGATGTCTGAGGGAAAAGACACATTTTCATGACTTTGTTTTATGGTTTTAGGATGGTGTTTCCCGCTCGGGTTAATCAGCTGCCGTATGAGTGCATGTTGACATTTTGCCTCAAGGCCTCCAAGCGCGGAAAGACGCCCGAGCTTTTAGGCTGGGCTGTGCTACCTCTCTACAGCAATAGGTGGGTCGTCTGCAACGTTTACAAGATTGTCAAGATTCTCTATAAGCTGTCGTCCTGCTTTGATTTTCAAATATCACATTTGCCTAAATGATGATACGGGTGGAGGCTGTGGAGTTAAATGGCCGGCCGATGTGTGTGTGTGTGTGTCTCCAGGACTCTGGTAAATGGGACCGTTCTGCTCAGTTTGTCCACACTGCCCGAGCTGCCTGTCCCTCCCTCCCCCGCCCTGTTTGACGGCCACGGTCAAGCCGTCGGGGTCATTCTGCAGGTCAGTGACGCTGCCGGACATCTCCGCCGCATGCGGACAAAAAGAAACAAATGATATTATTTCCCGTATCCCCACAGCTTGAGTTTGCTGATCAGTTCGAGTGGAGGTATCAGAGGCCCATCGCCCTCCCCGGCTCCTTCAGTTTTAATGAGCCTTGTGAGTCGTTGCAGAGAAAAATGGTGGAAGTCTCTAAGAAGCACTGTCTCTGCTTGTGAGTAGAAGAAAACACACCACCTTATTTTCGTTTTAAACAACTGAATGTATGTGTGCTGTGTTTGAAGCTTTAAGACATTATCTAAGGGGAGATTTCTATTTCTTTATTCTGTAGTTCAAGAATATCATTTAACCCGCAAGGGGCAGTTTGTTTCTGCTCAGCGGCAATAAAAATACAAAAAACAGAGCAAAAGAGCTTCAAAAAGTAATACATACTGATATATGTATTTCTGAAATGTTCTTTCCTCCCCAAGTCTAACAGAAAATGAGAAGGCTTTCCTCTGGAGTAAGCGCCACAGCAGTAACCAAAGAAGTACTTTTCTCCACCTGCTGCTTGGTGGAGTGCCCCAGTGGCGTCCTGAAGACCTGACGGAAATCTACACTTTCGTAGAGAACTGGACCATCTATCTGCCAGAGGAGGCCCTGTTCCTGCTCAGTGACAGGTAGGTTCCCATGCAGACGCATGCATTGTGCAAACCTAAGGAGGAGGTGATGCAAGATATAAAGTTCAGTTTCACCGCCCATGCAAACAAAAATACAAAAAAAGAACAAACACTCTCAATTTCACTAAATGAATTAATATCTATGAACACACAGAGAAACATCAAAGAACCGAGTAGGCTGAGGCAATAAAGAATGATCAGTTTTGGAAGCATTTTTTACATACTGTCACTTCGTTGGTGAAAAAAAGAGCCAACTTGTGTGTTTGTGTCGTTGCGCTGATGGTGGTATGAAGGCTCAATACTCCCCTCTGCCTGTGGGTGGCGCTACGCAGCGTAATTAATAGGCAGATTTGCCGAGGCGACAATTTAAAAAAGTGAGATTTAAGGCTGGCGCATGTTTCTGCGTCTGCGTCGTTGCGTCGACGCACTCGTTTCACTTCATGGTTCTGCGTGTGTCGCAGAGTGATTCACCTCCAGAACAACAGGCGGAGTGACGTGTTTTGTAGAAGACGACCTAGAGAGTCACGTCTATTTATTTATTTGTTTGTTTATTTATCATAGACTTTATTGCCCCGTGCATCGCCACTGCTGCTTTTCATCGCGGACACATTTGTCCCGTATTTTCCTCCACAACTTTGTGCACCTCTCGACCGGCAAACCGGCGTTTGCGGCGATCTCCCTCCGTGAATCCAACCCGCTTCTACAACCCGCCAATGACTGCTTGTATAAGCGCTCATATTTGCGCATTTCCTCCGACAAAAGTTATTATATCTGCTCCGTTCTCTCGTAAACATTCTTCGTGTTAATAATGGCGGTATCGGGCTATGAAAGCGGAAATGTGAGACTCCGTAAAGGACGTAGTTAGCGGACCAATCGCAGCCTGGTGCGCTGCGGGAGGCTTGCGTCGTTTTTAAGCCTAGAAAAATGTCTCGACACACGCAAGGAGGTGTGAAAAGCGACGCAAGGGACACGCAAGGGGTCTTGCGTCTGCGTCGCTCTGAAAACGCAGAAACATAAATCAGGCTTAAGAGATACCTGTGCATAAAGCCTGTGCCATCTTGGCATTAGGATCATGTTAAGTTTAATAAAACACAACAAATAGAACACGCGTTTCCCTGATTTCTTCGAGTATATTCTGCTCATGCTGAAACTATGTTCGGGATTGATTTTCATATCATTTCCGGTTGTTGGTGTGCCGTGAGATTTTTTCTGTGTGCCTTGACGCAAAAAAGGTTGAAAAACACTGGACTAGTGATTCCTTGACGTTAACACCTCATGGAATCATCGTGCCCATACTTCATGTTCTTGTTCTGAAATAGGTTTTGAAAATGTTTGTCTCATCTTTAAAGCAATCTCAGAATACCCGAACAAATGAAACGACCCTACCAGAGACACACCCCCCCGCGTGCCAAGTGTGTTGAAGCCGACTCTCACTTTCACTGCTCCTTAGTCACCGTATTCCTAATTGTACTTGAATGGAAAGACGCACTCCCACTTTCCTTTACTTCACTGGATCGAAGCTTTACTGTACGTTCTAAAAAAAAATACTCAATAAAAAGCTCCACAAAGACTCGTATGTGACCGTATCAGAGAGACATTGTTGTTGCCCGCTGTTCTGTGAAAAAAGACAAGGTTGGAGGCCATGCTCGCTCAGTGCAGCTCTCTCTACCCTGCGTGTTGGTTTGTACACTCTGTTCCCGATCCCAGACTATTCCCCCCCCCCCTTTTTCAATTCATGGTTGACAATTTATCTCTGTCCTACAAGGGCGATATCTTTTAATAACGAATTGTTTGAATGTTGTGTTGCAGCGGCCGTGAACTTACTACAAGGAGACCACTGACCTAAATTTCCTTTTTTTTTTTTTTTATCACCACAAAGATTACAAGCTCGTTTGACGGGTGAATATATCTATTTTTTATTCAACAGTTTCCATGATCAGACTGTGAGGAGAGCTGCGGTTCATTACTTTGAACAGATACCGGATGAAGAGCTGGAGGTGTTTCTACCACAGTTAGTGCAGGTAAACCTACTAAGTATTACTACACACAGTGACACAACGCACAACTCCTTAATCTCCTCGTCAACCAATATCAAGTCGTCATTGATTGATCCGTCGTGCTGCTCTGTAGGCTCTGAAGAGCGAGTGGGAGCTGGATGGACCTCTGGTGATGCTGCTGTTGGAGAGATCATTGAAGAACGTGCGGATTGCCCATCAACTCTACTGGTGAGTCACACGTCAAGCCATGGGAATGTATCTTGTGATCACCAACACTATTTAAACATGTCAGTTTTTATGAAAATAAGTTTTACTAATAAATACCCTTATTTATGATAAAGGTATGCTGTAATATTTACATTACATTAAATGACATAATATATTATTTATTAAAATGCCGGCAGGCTGCTGGAGGATGCCTACACTGACTCCTACTACCAGAGTTGGTTTAGTAAGGTACAGGCTGCCCTGCGGCACTGTTGTGGCCGGGCTCTGAGGCAGGAGCTGGAGAACGAGACCCGCCTGCTGTCTGTGCTCATGCAGGTGGCCGAGCAGGTCTGCACCGCTAAAGAGGCTCGGCGTAAGGTTCGTAAACAGATGTACTTTCATCCACCGGGTCACATTGTTACATCCCACTGTGCACGTTTAATGCCCGTTTTGCTTTTTCATTTGACGTGTTTTTCAGCAGAATGTTTTGGCCAATGAGAAAGTAAAGATTCAGGAGTTCTTCGGAGAGCGGATCAGCTGTTGTCTGCCACTGGATCCTGCCGTGCGTGTGAAGGCAGTGGACCTGGATGTAATTCTAACTTTATTATAACAAATTAGGCTACCACTATTACATCATTACTTTGATCTCATTTTCAGATGTATTTGTATTGCCCTAAATCCCAAATTTGCAGCGTCTGATCTGATCTGCACACTGGAGAGTTTACTCTGATATGTGACTTGCAGGCTTGTAAGTTTTACAACTCCAATGCTGCTCCTCTTGGGATCTCCTTCTCCTGCTCAGACCCGCTGGCCAAAAACATCAGTGTCATCTGCAAGGTTGGTAATGATATGTTGCTTTATTGATCCACCCTGGGCCTCATGCAAGACCATTTTTCTTCTTTTAGCTTTTATCTTACTTTTATATTTGAGGTTTACTTGTAAGAGTTTGCGAAGTCAGCATTAATCAATGCCCCTAAAACGAGGTCCTGCTGGGTTGATGGGCAGGTTTTATTCACACAAAGGTTTCCAAAGTGTAGAAGTTCAGCCTGCAGAAATCAGCATAGGATAATATATAGCGCAGGCATTAACAAATAACTATCCAAGCAAATATCCAAGCAATATTACAGCTTTCAACAACGCAGCATCACAGCAACGCTCTACAGCGACAGACGTAAAGAGGGAATAGTTTGAGAAGTTTACTGCAGGAGAAACAAACAAAACAAAAAGTCTTGCTTTCGTCTTGGCTCACAAAGCACCTTTTAGTGAACTCATTTCTTTACCGTGTTGGATGTGTCGTTCAGACAGGAGATAACCTGCGGCAGGACATGTTGGTGCTTCAGATAGTCTGTGTGATGGACAGTGTGTGGCTACAGGAGGGGCTGGACCTGCAAATGATCACCTACAGGTGTCTTTCCACGGGCAGAAATCAGGGTCAGTGGACCTGTTTGTTTGGACAAGCTACTAACCCACTAACCCATTGCACTAACCCATTAACCCACTAACCCATTGCATTAGCATTTCATTCCACTTTATTTTATTACTTGTGCACTGTTGTCTTGTCTGTCTACTGTCGCGCACTAATCGCCAAGACAAATTCCTTGTATGTTTGACATATTTTGGCTAATAAATGTTTCCTGATTCCTGATTCCTAACTGGGCTGTGGATTCATTGTACTCCCGTACATTCTGTGTGGCCGTCAGGCCTGGTGGAAGTGGTCCCAGATGCAGTGACCCTCGGGCAGATTCAGCAGGAGTGGGGTCTGGGTGGCACCCTTCGAGAAGACACCCTGGAGAAATGGTTCCACATGTCTAACAAAACTAAAGAGGACTATGACAAGGTCGGGACCACTGGAAAAGCTTTGATTAGGTCACTTCCGTGCCGGACATGTCGCACTAACGCTCTGCTGTTGTGAACACGCAGGCTGTGATGAACTTCATCCACTCGTGTGCAGGGTGGTGTGTGGCCACCTTCATCCTGGGGATCTGTGACCGCCACAATGACAACATCATGTTGAAGAACACTGGGCACATGTTTCACATCGACTTTGGCAAGATCATGGGCAACGCACAAAAGTTCGGAAACTTTAAAAGGCAAGTGAACAAAAAGTCTAGCGCTACTGTTTTTTAAAAGTGAAAAGAGCAGCGTGTTTAAAGAAAATGTCCCCCTGCTCCTCTTTTTGCAATGATAGGGACCGGTCTCCATTCGTCTTTACGTCCGAGATGCAGCACTTCATCACAGGCGGAGGGCAGAACCCTCAGCGCCTGCATCGCTTCGTGGAGCTCTGCTGTGAAGCCTACAACATGATCAGAAAGCGCACTGCATTGATAATCAGCTTGTTGGAGCTAGTGAGACCTTTTTTAATGAGTGACATCATCACGGTGAGAATCTCCTCGCTACATCCGAATAGCATCATCACCTTTTCATTGGTGGTTTCCAGATGCTAAATGCAAATATGCCAGAACTGAAGGACTCAAACGACCTGCTGTACGTCCAGAAGAACCTCAGACCTTGTGACACGGACCTGGAGGCCACATCCTACTTCACAAGGTGATTTCAGGGTCAAACTCACAAACGATCAGCCTCTCTCCGGAAGAAAATCTTAATGTCTTATTCTTATGGTTTGTTTCCATCCGGCTGCAGGAAGATCAAGGAAAGCATGGACTGTATGGCAGTCAAGTTTAACTTCCTCACACACAGCATAGCTCAAGGGAAGAAACAAGAAGCACAGGTGCAGCCGCTCAGCAGCCCGGCTCCTTCCACCAACATCCAGGAAGCTGTCATCCAGGGATACACCATCAGCGGAAAAGATGTGGTGAGGCTGCGGTTATTCAGACTGAAATAACAGCTGGAACGGACGGCACATTGGTACACACAGGGGAACAACCCCCGGCATACTCACTGCGTGTGTGTTTGCTCTCACTTGTGGCCTCCCTTAGTGTTACCCATGATTGTTGCCATATCACTGCTCAGATTAAGCCTCCTGATGCCAGGTTGAACACTTTTAGACTGAGATGAAGCACTTACCCAGTGACTCAGATTGACAACTCTCATGCACTCTGGTATTAACACTGAGGTAGTTTCCCAGGTGGTCAGTAAAGGCAATAGCATTTCAGACGGCTAGCATTATAGAGAAAATCTTTAACAGTAAAAGTAAAGAAGCTGATTGGTTAGGATTGACTTGAAAGTACTGTAAAAGTTCTTTGTTACCTCGCTGTAGGGTTTGATACACGTGTGTGCGCCGGACGTTCTTAACTAAAGACAGACGGACCGCTGAAATGCTTTACAGATCCTTGAAGGTAAAATTTCCCTCAGGCTGCCATCTTCCAAGAGGATTTAAGCGTGCGCACCAGTTGCTAAATCAGCTTCCAGCTGAGCTTCAAAGTGGATTCTGTGTGATCAGCAGTCTCTCTTCATATATTCCCCCTACAACCTAATGAATTAGTTCTGTTTTATTCTGCAGATCTACAACATCCGAGTGACCATCCACAATGGTGTTCTGAACAGTGAGAAGACATTCGGGCAGTTTGAGCTCATCCATAAGCAGCTGAAGAAGCACTTTATTGAAACGCAGCTGCCGCCGTGAGTGAAGATCAAATATACCCGCACAACGCACATCCTGTGGCTATTTTATTCATTCTTCAACAATATTAACATAATTTAATTATTGTACTCAAAATAGGTTTCCCAAGTGGTTTAAGATGTCATTCACCCCAGGCAGCAGGATGTCTATGCTAAATAAATACCTGAAAGAGCTTTTTGAGGGGCCTTGCAAGGGAGTAAGTTCCGCTCGCTTTTTTGGGGGGGTGGATTTCTCTCGGTGACCACTTGTTTTGCCCGACTAACCCACAAACCTGCCTCGCGCTGTCCCTTTCAGAATGAGTTTGTCTGCAGCATGTTCCTGGACGGCCCCATCACAGTTCCAGAAAGTGGGGTGACAGGTAAGTCCTCGCATTTAAATCAACAGTGGGATCAAATTTACTGTACAATTGGAAGATTCTGTGAATTTAGATGATTGCCCATTTACAGTACAGGATGTACTCAACGTTATACTTCGACATCGATGCACTAATGTATTGCAGGAGCTCGTCCTCAGGTCCAGCTGAAAATTTCTTACTCTGACTGCAAGCTATCGGTCTTAGTAAAACACCTGAAGAACGTTGTGAGTTTCCTTGACGGGCATCATTGCATTGTTTGTTCGTCTTATGCAAACTTTACGGTGTGTGCTAAAGTGCAGGCAATCTGTTTTCTTTTCAACAGAAGCTGTCAAATGGCGCCAACCCCGACGCCCATGTGATCGCGCATCTTAGGCCGGACCCTCGGCTGCAGTACAAGAGGAAGACCAAGGTGGTTCGGAATAATGACAACCCCACCTTCAATGAGCTGGTACGACTTCCATCTTTTCCACCTGCTATTCACGATCTAACACAGTCATAGAATCCTTTGGTTTTCCGTTGGGAAAGTAAGGCTTTCGTGTATCTAGTTAAAGGGCCAGTGCATGTAACATTAAGATACTTTTCAGTAAAAAAAGGAATAATGCCACAGTAATTTAAAGTAGTGTGTTGTTTCAGATTTTATTATGATCTAGGAATGTAAATTTGTATATATAAAGCCCTTAACAGTATTTTAATGTTGCACAGACAAGCTTTAAAGAAAGAAAAACGAATAAATAGGTAAACAATTAAAAGCCAAACTAGTCAGAATGTCAAGCTTTTTGATAGCTAAAATATCTGCCTCTTATTCCCAGTTGGAGTACAATTCCATCCCACTGCTGTATGGGAGGGTACTGGAAGTCACAGTGAAGAGCAAGAATAACTTTGTGGCTGCGACCAACATCAGACTGGTGGAAGATTTACTAGAAAAGGAGAAGTGGTTTGTCCTCGGAAACTGTGCGATCTGACCTCAGAGAGCTGCGCTGTTAGTGCGCTGCCAGCAGGGGGAGCAGCGCCACCAGGAGGGAATCAATTCCAGGATCTCTCCCATTGAATGAGACAAATGCACCTGTGCAGAGGAGCTGAGGACTCGCACCCATTCATCAGGCACCCTAGCCTCCCTCCAGAGCTACATATTTTGGCATTAAATTGGGGGTTTTAGATGACTTTACAAGGCTGAGTAAAAGACTTAGAGAAGGATACCGTTTACTGTACAAAGCATTACCTTGTCTGTTTTACTTTACAAAATGAAGGAATCAAATGAAGGAATCATTTGTCCAATTTTGGGATGTGACTTTGCTGATGGTTGAAGTCAAGAAACTTTCTATTTATAGGGATGACTATTGAACCTGGAAGCGTGTGTGGTGGAGACTGTCGATGTGACAGATTAAGGGGCAGGTGATGCATTGCAGTTAGGGAAGGCCTGTCTGACACCTGCTCAGACTGAGTGTGTTTGTCGACTGGATGTCCTTGACCGGTGGAATCGGAAGCGGGAGGCAGGAGAGTGAGGGAGAGGCAGGGGAGTGAGAGTCTGTGAGCGGGAGGACGACGCAGCCTCTCCGGCCTGAGGGGCCGAGTTAACGCTCTTCCCATCACTCCATCCTCTGTCTCATCCATCAGTGGCATTCAGACACAGCTATGCACAAGCAAACAGGCAAAGGCAGACATTTGCATGCCCACACAAGCACTCCGGAATAAAGAACACACACATACTCTCTGGGGCTTAAGGCTGGACCTCATGTGATCTTACATCTTCCTCATGATACGCCTGCTGACGCTCTACTGTCTTTCATCTCATTCATAGGATTTAGTGATAAAGGATAGAAGTAGTCTCGCAGCACTGGATTCAGTTGAATAATGTAAAGCTCTGTGAATGCTATTTATATTATTCCCTGCTGCGTCTCTCACGAGGAAGTGGGCTTGGAGGAAATTGCTGCCTGCTACTCTTTCATAGTATAGTGCTCATTGACTATTAATGTATCCTGGCATCACTCATTGCCTTCAGAAAATATAATTAATAATAACTGCATTCATTGTTTTGGAATAGATGAACATTTCTTTATGGTTTCTCTTACGTGTGATCAACGCTGCCACAATAAATGCACTTGCATCAATAATTCATTTGATAAGAATGTAATCTCCTACTTTGGGGGTTTCTCCACTACTTGATGCCAGAAGAGCGTTATTCTGCATTACTCCTCTGGTCTTTTTCCTCCTCACTGGAGAGAAAACATGTCTTTTTTCTGACAATAAAACCGATATTTATATCTGAGGAAACGGTCCATTTGATTTAATTATATATTTCTGTTGATGCTGTTTCTGCATCAGCCACGCTTCTCTATCTCTTGACAAAGTGTGTGTGTGTGTGTGTGTGTGTGTGTGTGTGTGTAAGAGAGAGAGAGTCTGATATGGAGAGCTGTATTTAAGGATACCAAACAAAGACAAAGAGGGAAGCTGGATCCAGGCTGCATCCGTCTCGGGATCTCAGAGGCACCCAGCGGTAGCCTGAGGTGCAGAATGAAGGCGGGCGTCAAAAGAAATGTGTGTATAGCCGCTAAGTACGAGAGCATCACGAAGAAGCACAGAACCATTTCTATGAAACGGGATCCAACCTTCAGCAATGCTGACGCTGTCAGCTGTCACAAGGGGAAATACAACAATGGTCCCACAATGTCACCTGATGTAATTTAGCCTTTTTGTCCCGCTCCCAACCTCCCCGCCCCCCCCCTCCGACCTTCAGCCTCTGTGGCTCACCTCTCTTCAGGCTGGTGAAGGGCAGAGTGTACTGGCCCACAAAGTCGCTGGTGAAGAGCCCCGTCTGCTCGCGGACACAGAAGCGGATGAGGCAAAGCTCCGGCACGCTGATGTTGAAGTTCATGTCAGAAGCCCAGTAAGGACTCAGAGCTGTAATGGAATGGAGCATCAATAGGTTTAGCTAAAGCCATCATATCAAATGAATATGTGTATTGTGAAAGGTGTTACTCCTAACGATGACCCCCACAGAGTATTATCACTTGACTCTATTGGTCCCCTCAGCTCTGAGGAGTTTTAAGCGTCTTTTAAGTCATTGTTTTGGTTTTAAAGCCCTGTGATTCCACTGCTGTGGCTCACTCCCTCAGCTCTAATAGGCTTTTCCTGCCACTGCAGGCGGCTGCTTTCAGTTAAACCGCTTTAAATATCTGTAATATAAAGGCTCGGCACCAAACCGTATACAGATAACATTATGATGACCATAGTGGAGCATTTAGCAGTTAAATGGCATTTTTTTTTTACAAAATTACAAAATTGTTTCCCATCTTCATCTTAGTTCAACGTTGTTCTAATGCTCCCTCATTCCGGCTCTCTTCCTGTTTCTTCTCCCTCTCAGACATTTCATCCTGGTGTTCGTGAATTTCAGAACCCCTGTGAATCCCATTGGTGATTCCCTAACTTTTTCTCTCGCGGTTCAAAGCAAATAACTGTCATAACGTTAAAATTCCGAAAGAACAAACACGGCCCACAAAACCAATTACGGCTTCTGATTGGTCCTCAGAAATTCACGTTCTCTGCCATACTTCATTTTTAAGTTAAACTGCTCAGTTAACTAAAACAAAAGACACATTGTGACATGATGAAAGTAATCGGTCCGGCAGCACTTACAGTTGTTCTTGACAGTGTGGGTGCTTTTTTTGCGTGAATCAGATGGAATCCCATGAATCTCCACTCTGACAAAGGAGTCCAGAGGTTTGCCACTCCTGGAGATCGGTAGGTTGGACCCACTAATCATCTGCAGACACACACAGATTCATTTGGGATGGTCACAAAAAGGGTAAGAGAACGTAATTGATATCAGGGAAGAACAGTATAAACAAAGAAAAGCGGAGGGCCAGTAAGAGTGGAGGACTGAAGAGAGGGGGGAAGGCTGTAATCACGCAAGTGTGGAGAGAGGCAGGCTTATCTGCAGTCCTCTCACACCGAGCCGTCCCCTCCCTGCCTTTGATCAAAGACAAACCTGCATGTACTTATCGCGACATGCACTGCTTGGCACTGATGAAGCTTTGCAGTGTCCGGCCCAAAATTACAGCCTTGTTTCCTTTGCTAAAGACGTGCTGCAAAACGCCCTGCATTATGCTCATTTTTTTTTTTTAAACTCAACCACATGTAAGCGACACTATGACTTTCATGACTTTTATTTCAGCTGAGGTGAGAGCTGAGTCAATATTGCAGGATTTTGTCTGAAGGGATCCAATAATAATATGCCCAGATGATGTGAATAAATATAGGTAAGGTGTCTCCCGGGGCATCCGGAAAAGGAGCGCACCACTATTTACATTTCATGCACTGTGCTCGGATGGTGTAGTCTGTGTCTGTGCGCGTCCTCCTTTAGAAAACAATATCCGTTGTGCTCATCCATTCTCATGATCTATTGTCTGATCAAGATGTATTTCCTTCGTCTGACAACAGCAAAAGCAAGCATTATAGTAGGCGTTAAAGAAAAGGATATAGCTCGTGTAATATTTAAACAGCTACAATACTGAGTTCAATTTAGGAAAAACTCTTTTTGAAAACCATTAACACCTTTGCAGCCAGTTGAAATGATTCATAGGACTGATTCTAGTTCCTCTGCAGTGAGTCCCATGTGATCCCAGGCACCTCCACGAAGACATCTCTCGAGTCAAACCACTATGTTCTGCATAAGAGCAAACTGTAATTGGACTTTGAAAAGTTGATGTTGTGACAGGCGGCACACTAAAGAAACGCGACTGCTCTCTGCAGCCTCATTCATTCATTTCCGTGTGACTAGTATGCAGTGCATTACAAATTGCCACAAACGTGATTAAAAGAATAGAAAATAAGATGATTTATTAATTCTATCCGGGGTCTAATTGCATTAGAAATGCCGTCTCCTTTCCCTTTTACTATCTGAGGGAGGTAATCTCATTAAACAAAGACTATCTCAGGGAGATTCATGTGGTTGTTGGTTCACAGTATCCGGCAGGAAAGCATTTATCTGGAGGCTAAGAGTGAGATGAGCTCTTCTACACAACCTCAGTATTGTGAGGCATAGACGCACACACGTGTATACACACAAACAACACACACAGCGCTGTGACATTACGCCTCAACCCCCCCTGAGTGGATTCTTCAGCATTCTGGGCTCTGGATCTGTACCTTGAGCAGCAGGTGTGTGGAGTTGGGGCCGCGCTGGCTGCAGCTGGGATCGAAGCTTCTCTGACTGGACATGAGCACCGCTGGTTTCAGGACGTAGCCACAGCCCCCGTTGTCCTGGAAACGGCCGTCGTTAAGGTCCATGGACAAGCCCAGGGACTGGAAATTGAGGGCGACTGCAACACACCACGGGACAATGTTTGGAAGGACAAAAACGAGGTGCCATCGCTGTGACAGCATTTTTTTTTTACAAGAACAAAATAGAGACTGCCTAGAGCTTGCTTTAATAAAACAGGCAGCATCTCCTGCACACACCTTATGTTTTCTAAGACATCTTGTTCATTCTGCAGGAGGGAGCCAAATTATATATATTGACTTGAAATGTTCCCTTAACAATTGCCTGCGTTGCATCAGGGAAATATTCAACTGGGCACAAAGCTCGTCTGTACTCGTATTGTTGTGGTGCAAAGCTCTTTTGACGGCTAGTGTGCAGCACATTCCATGTCTTCAGTGACATGTCAGACATGTGAATAGAGTGGCAGGGTGGAAAAAAAACACCTTTATTTGTGGTCCTAACCAGCCCACTCCAGTGAACCCTTCTGCGTCTTATCACACATGTACACGTCGCAAGCGTCCCACTGAATTGATCCTTGCAGGCCGCTGGCTCACCGTCTGCACGGCTAACACCGCAGCACGCCGACCCCTCTGCTCGGCCACCGGCGGGCCTTCGCGTCACATTCAGAGGACGGCCGGCTGAGTGATGAAGACGGATGAGGAGGTTGTGAAAAGGCGGACACGGTGACGGAGCCTGAGCGATGGGTTATGAGGTTTGTGGGTAATCGCGCGTTGCCAGCAGGAGTGAGGATGTCAAGTTCACGAATGCGTTTTCTTTTTGAAGAATTGTCGCTCTGCAGAGCAAAGGATTGTGATATGGAGTCGAGCCAATGTTCACGCTGGACTAAGAAATGACAAAATAAAAGATAAGGATGTGGTTTATATAGAGAGAGAAAACATCTGGGGGGGTTGGGGTAGTGCAAATCGATTTATAAAATGTGCGATAAGGGCCAGGAGAGGACTCGCTCCGAGGAAACACAGATCAGCGGTCAGGCTGCAGACTGAAATGAAATGTTCTTTTCACTGCTAATCAACAGGACACTTGGCCGGGTTGTTCCCTTTGAAGTTTGACAATTTCACTTTCCGAATTGCGTTCCTCTTCATTTGGAAAGCTTGTAATGGGTTGGGATGGTTGTTCAGTGTGTGTCGAGCAGGAAACCAGGAAAGAACACTTCTGAATTGGTGTTTTGACCAAAATGGCAATATTCTTGGCAAGAGAGTACTACTATCAGGGACAAGAACCGTATTTCTGTATAACGCTATATTTTACAAATAAATGTCAATTAATTAGATACTCAATAAGTGAATGAAATAACGATGGCTTAATGTATTAATTTTTTCAAAAGAAAATGATTTACTTCCATATTTATTACCTATTCAGATTTGTCCAAATGACAGAATGCTTAAAAAGATTTCCATGACTCCATAACTGCATGTCAGGTAGCACTGCGTGCACTGTATGCGTATGCATAGACAGTATTCGTCCCATAGAAATGTGAATTTTTCTCATGTTTAAGCATTATTAGAAATTCAATGTCCATTTCCCGTGCCTAGATAATTATTATAATCATAATAATGTGTGTTCGCCCTGTCCGACTCACCGAGCTGTGAACCGACGTTCCAAAACTCCTGAGGGTTGTAATTGGTAGAAGACGTCCTCGAGCCGGCCGGGTAAATCCTGCTGAGGAACTTCTGGTTGTGCTGAACAAAATCAGCACCTGTGTGAGAGGACGCACAACACTCTCATGTCAAATGTGTCTGGAAAGTGTCACCACTCCTCAGCAGCAGCAGATGTCATTTCCCTACATCGCTCAGTTTCTCCGATTACAGAGACAGTTTCACTGATCAGCTGATTCGAACCTCTTCGGGCTTTTTTCCACTTGTCAAACAGTGAGAGGATGAAGCACATTTCTTGAGTTGTGCTTTTGTGCTTCATTCCCTATAAAGTACTCCCCCATGTCGTATATGTCATGCTCAATATGCCTCCGCTATTAAGGAGGTTTATGGCGCCAGATGTAATTGCATTTACCCGTCCAAAGAGGACCTACAGAGACTTGTCCTTTCGGCTCCATGTGATTGTAAATCATTTGAATATGCTGGCCTCATCAGAATTTGATTTTCTGAGATCTGTACTGACATCTAAACATTCTTCATTACCTCAGAATCAGGCTTTCCTTTCCTGACCCTACATATCATTTTACCTGAGGCTTTGGCTAGCTTGCGAGCTTTCTTCTCTGCCATTGATGTGTTCTCATAGAGGTTCTGATTGTCCTTGGAATGAGTGAAGCTGATGAACTTCACAGACCTGGTGTATACAACCAGGTCCGACAAGGCCTCTGCCACCGCAACCTTCTTCAAATGCTCATTTCATTAAGGGTAGAGAGAAAGACAAAACCAAATATTTACCAAAGAGAAAAGAGGTGGGTGGAGTAAAGCTTCACCTTTTTGCTTCATCATCTTATGGTTGCAATGTACATTCAATAATATCTGTGCAGAATACTTCTGTTCCTAACTGGCTTACTTTTGTCTTAGCAACTGCCTTTCTGGGAAGCCAGAACTTTGCTTTGGACTGTCGCTCCTCTTCCTCCTCCTCATCCTCATCCTCCTCCTCCTCCTCATCCTCGGCATCATCTACACTCTCCTCGGCCTCTGTCCCTGATGCGCTCTCAGCCTCAACGTGATTCTTTAGCTTTTTATTCTTGATGAGGATCTTATACTTCAGGTCCTGGTGTCCCCACAAATACACAAACAGCATAAATTCACACATGAATAAGTGGAAATGTTTACCTTCATCTCTGCACCTATAATCCCCATCACACAGCTGCATTACTCAAACAAACTCTGAATATTCCCTCTTCCTGCATCTTCAAACGCAGGAAACATACATCAAAACATTTGCTTTGCACAAACCGCCCCCCCCTCTGTGATTTGTGAAAAAGACCCTGTTCTGTTGTTCAAAGACTCGCCCTGTGGCCACATCATGTTAGTACGTGCACATAGCCCAGGTTGTTGCGGTGAAGAAGAAGAAGAAGAAGAAGGCAGGTGTGCAAAATCCGTGAATCACACACATGCTGCTACATTTCACCGCCTTGGCTGTTAGTCCGTACTCTATAGGGCTCTTAAATGCAGATGAGCAGCCATATGCTAAAAGTAAAGAGAAGGAAAACACTATGAACTGGATTTGGAAGCAGCTTCATGGTGAGCCACAAGGCAGGAAGTCACCCTGTCAGCTGCAGTGTATGCACAGGCAAAATATGCAAAAATAATTACTGATCTCTTAACATGTATAACCCATAAAGAGTCCATATAGTATGAAAATTATAACCTCCAGAGCTTCTTTTGGCACGCCGGCCTTATTTCACTGCTGTTGCATGATTCAGTCTGGAGAGCTAGAAGCTTTGTGTATGTAGTTTAGAATAAAATAAATGATCCATGTTTACGTTTGAAAAAAAGAGTAAAAAAATGATTTGACGCCTTTGATCTAAAGGGTCAGAGTGGAGTAGAAGGTAATGAAGAGTTTTTGAGAATTGCATATTGGTTCAACTTTCACAATTGGAGCGTATTCAGTAACACTGATTCAGTATTCATGTTGCTGGGGGGTTAATAGTCAAGATGAGAGCCATTAGTGCTGAGGCTCCCATCCAAGCCCCCACTTCCTCAGTCATAAAGGTAAAGAATGATCTTATATGCACGCTCGGGATAAAACGCATCTCATTTCTTGCCATAAATTCCAAAGCCGTAAGAAGTCTGAGGCAGCAAGAAACTCCAGTGAGACAGCTCACATTCATTCACTCTCAGAGAAAAAGCCTTCATCTTCCTCATCATATAGATAGATAGACAGTACTGTGCCAGCGCCTCGCAGGCCGGTCGCTCAGTCAAAGGTTCGGGCAGACGCTTTCGTTGGAGAAGTCGGGGGCCCAAACGCGGTAATCGAAACGAACAATCAGCTCAAGTGCCTCGGCGTGCTTAAAAAAAAGATATTTCTCCATTCTCCGAATAAACCACATCACATTCCATTTTTCCAACCTCTGAGAGATTAATGAGGCCTGAAAATGGCCTTCTATGGGCGACAGGCCGTCAGGATTTACACATACAAACACGCCTGCAAAAGCAGCTCAAACATTAAACGCAGTTCCCGGTTCTGATTTACCACTCAGATAGTCTCTTTTTAGTCTCTTACATTGGGGCTAGGGAGGTCTCCATTGGTCGCGAGATCCAAGGGACTGCTCAGCAGCTCTTCCCCCAGGATAGAGATGAGGTACTTGGCCATGACCTCCTGCTGCTCTTTGGAGCAATGATTTTCCAGCGACAGGATTACCGGGTAAGCAGACACCTGCCAAGAAACATCAAAAAGAATGATTCAAACCCTTTTTCCAGCAATTAGCATCAACATGGAACCGCCGGGCTCGGTGTTCACTCTGAATTCTCTCGGCAGATCACAGAGAGAACGGCCAAAATCAAAGACAACTTGCAAGCAAAGCATTAAGATCAGAGATGCTGTTAATTGGAGCAAATGCAACTAAGTAGGAACTCCTGGCGGCTGCGGAGGCAGGAGCGAACACTCCTCAGGAATATGTGATGTAACACACCACCAGCCGTTACCTCAAAGGCGCGTTGCTTCACAGTGGCGATGACGTCCTTAAATAATATCTTGGTGGTCAGGGTGTAGCCGTGGTACACTATGGGCTCCATATCTGGCCCATCCCAGCAGTCAATCTCCAGACAGCGACAGCCTTTCATCAGAGCACTGTGGCACGGAGAGAGACACAGATGAGCACATGCATGCAGAGACACATGCACAGACTCAGCTGTAGAATACAATGAGCACGTATAAAAGGTGCTGCATGAGAAAGTAGTTGTCTTCATAACTACTCTCATACAAAAGAAACATTATTGTATTTTATACAGTTTCATGTATTTAGTAAGTGTGAATAATACAATGTAAGGATCTGATAAGCTCTTCAGATGGGGCTAGTACATTTCCATTTGTTATATTCATTTGCTTATTGGGAAATCAGTCTTTCCGACCCTTTCTGCTGTTTTATGATGCCACACATGTGAATGCGCCTCCGATGTGTTTCTTCAGCAGTTAGTGTGTCATCATTCTTTCACCATAGTTCTCAGCCATATTTTTCTCTTTGCTCATAGAAATGTTATGAGCGTTTTCTTTCTGTAGTTTTTTGCTTTACAGAGTTGCTACAAACACTGATACTGTGATTAAAGTGAGTTGCGTGGTGACTTCCTCCCACATTTAGGAGAAGGTGTCACTGATTTATTCATTTTCAATCATTATATTCTTTTTTCGTATTTTTTTATTATATAAGGATATTGGATTAAAACACCTTTGACTATGGAGAGCGTGTGGAGAAGGATGAATGTATTGGAATTGGAACAGTTATCAAGTCCTGAATATGTGCTTCCAAAGTGAATGAGTCATTCTAATTCTAACTGAAGATGAGTGTTATTAGAGCTGGGAACCAATAAAATATAAATGTTTGTGCACAACAACACAAAATATGCAGTACAATGTGTTCATCTGTGACTTTTTAATTGAGAGTGTATCCCTTGTATCTTGACTGTGGCCTGACTCTAGCTCCATCCTTCATGCAGAAAAACAAAGAAGTATCAACCTTTTCATCGTATTCTCGTAGAAAGTGTTTTACCATCTATATCTTTGGCACCTCTTTGTAACCAGCCCACAAGCAGACGACATGTCACAGTTTATTCAGGTAGGCACTCTGAATGTGTGACCCTGATGCTAAATTCCCATGTGAGGATTGTTAAAGCTAAAATTATTATTAAATTAAATTATTTTAAAATATAAAGACTGAATCTTTTCATTTCCTTTTCTTTCTCCATTCACCTCCAGTTTGTAGCGTTTTTAAAAAGCGCACTTTTACTCCCAACCCTTTGCGCCCATCTCTACATGATTAATCCTTTACCTAAGTAAACCAAAGAGGCTCTCACTCCACCAAATGACCAGAGCTCTCAGCACATTCACAAGGAACATAAAAACATCCCTTCTGCTAGCATCAGCCCCTTTTGTAATCACTTTCATGGTCCCATAAAGGGACCACGGGAGATTCACCGTGGCTCAGCAGACGAGCTGGTGAATGAAAGGATAGAATCCTGAGAACACACATGTAGGTATCAGGAAGCGACTTTAAAAGGAAAGTCAATGTGTACTGATAGTGACCAGTTTAAATTTTTCAATTGGCCTTATCTGGGGTTTGATGACCCATGTTAAATAGCAGATGAGATGTAAGGATTTGCAAGTGTAATTACACGTCTGTGCAATTCTGGACAGTGGGGACTTGTTTCAATTGGAAGTGGGTTGGTGTAGCTGTACTGTTTTCACTGCACTTCCCTACCTAACATATGCGTCCAGGTGGCTCTTTCCGACAATCTGATCTCCAGTCAGGTAGGTGTTGTGCGAGGTGGAGATGAAGTAGTTGCTGAGAGGCTTTTCCATGTGTTGGTACACAGACGTGTGGGCCTGGTCGAACACGCAGCAGTCTTTGGACTCCATGTACCTGAAGAACCCTTCAAATGTCATGGACCTACTTTCTCTGGCTGCAAGAGGAGGAAAGAGAAGAGTAACACTGGTAGCATTGGCTCTTTTAAGTACAATACAAAAAAACATTTAAAGAGGGGACTACACTATTTAATTGGTCATTAACAAAATAACCATTTTGTCCATCTGTCAATTAGACCCCGGCCTTACAGCAAAACACTTTGTCAGCCTGGGACCAGAGGAGCTAAAGGCTTGACTTCTGTTTGAGCTCAATTAGCATCATTACGTGATTATTCCTTAAAAGAGTAGAGGGTTTTCCTAATCCAAAATAATGAGCAGCAAGCAGCCCAACATGGCACGCAGCTCTGTCTTCACATACCTGTCTCTTCAATCTCATATCTCTCAATCAAACTCTCTGCGGTCTCTTCATTCGCCGTGATCTCCATCTGTTCTTTGTGCAGGAAAGTGAGGAGGGCGCAGGCAGGCAAGAGGGGCTGCCCCGAGGCGTAGGATTGGTGCAGGTGCTGGATTTCAGCTCTCCTAGACGAAGGACCCTTGGCTTTCCTCATTCTGCCCTGCATATAGTCAGTATAGCCTCTTAAACCCTTGTCACCCATCCCGGGAAATTAGCCTTTCTCTGTTGAAACTTTAAACTTGTATTAAATCACCATGCAGCTCCGAGGAGAGAAAGTGGTCACTAATAATTTATTAAAGGCTTGTGTTCGTCTGCAAGGCTGAACACCCGTCTTAATAGTGGCAGAGGGGAGAAAGCGTTGAATTTAGGTGCTCTCAAGGCAAAGTGCTTCAGACTATTCTTTACGTTGTCATTTTGTAGATATCTCAAACCCTTCCAAAGTCACAGCACGTCAATGGCTCTCTAAAAATAAGAGTGGATCATATGTCAGCTCGGAGATGTATCCCTGCCTTTACCTGAGCTCACTGTGGAAATACCACTTTTTCAAACTCAGCGTGAGAGAAAATAAAAGGGAAGTCACTTTCACTCTGCACAAAGGTTCTCCCATCCTCTCACACAGCATCCTCCTCTCCTCTGTACATCTCTTGCTTCTTGTCATTGCTCTCAGTCAGTGAGACCAAAGTGTCTGTGACTTTCACCAGCCTTGTGTGTGTGTGTGTGTGTGTGTGTGTGTGTGTGTGTGTGTGTGTGTGTGTGTGTGTGTGTGTGTGTGTGTGTGTGTGTATGTGTGTGTTTCTCCCTCCATACCTTTCATCTCTCATACATATGCCAATGTCAGTGTTATGAGTGGGCCGGCCTCCCGCTGCATCTGTCGCCTCAGCGTGAGCAGCATAAAGCAACCAGCCACGCCATTAACCTTATATGCTGTTGCAGTGACTGTTTCTAAACCAGGAGATCCCTTTTAAAGTGCTGTCTAATAAGGGGCTACTAACTCAAGAAAAGTCACCAGACATAAACATGTGGAAGAGCATTCACTAGAGCAATGTTCAGCCATTGTCAACGAAGAGGTAATTAACGTTAGCTAACGCTAGTTGCAACTCTACTGAGACCAAGTGTTTGCTGGAATCTCATCAAGGAATCATGTAAACAACAGCCTACCTCAGACGTGACGGTGATGGTCTCTCGGTGCCTTTAGTATAGATATGTAGGAACAGGATATCAGCAATGCGTTACAAACACTCAAAACCTTTCAGTAGGTTTCTAGGGAGGTACAAGCAAGTTTTTGTCATGGCAACAAAACATTCTGAACTCTAAGGTTCTAGACTCAAACTGACTGTGTGTCTGAATAGAGTATGAGAAGAGAGAACATTTGTTTTCATGTACATGCCGGTTGAAAACCGTCTTGCAGTGAGTGAAGTGTGAAAAAGAACGTAAAAATAAACTTTTTTAACCTAATTTTGTATATTTTGGCTCATAAATAAAACTAAACTCTGTCATTTTGATTGTTAGCGTGTTAGCATGCTGCTACAAAGCACCAAATGTGCTGAAGCATAGCCTGGTTAGCTTACCTGTTAGCTTCTATGTTGACAGCATTAATATTTTAATGAAATAAACTTTTCATTTAAAACAAAACTGTTTAGAGGATTAAAATGCTGATAGGAGCTAAATGCTCTTCATTTTACCAAGTGATCTGGTTTTGTGTTTATCATTTCCAGCCTGGTAGAACGTTGTCGTCAGCTCTGAGCCGCTGTTTGAACACATCATGAAAATAAATAAAAGTCTACTGAAAACCAGAGATTCATTTCAATGGAACTAATTTCACAAAATAAGGTCCACCATCCCAAAAACCTCTAACCACGTTGAACGAAAGTGTGAGCGCCTCGTGAAAACTAATCTATGCAACAGTCCATGAAGAACATTTTCACTGATTCCGTGTTGGTTGTTTTAGCGAGTTTGACAGGAACTTCCTCCCCGGTTGTCTGTGTAGATTTGAATGTTATTGGTGTGTTGTGAATCACTGGTGCACGACAATAGTCAATACCCAGTGGTTGTCCAGCAGAGTCATTCCTGTCTGCGCCAGGCTGCGTCGGCTCGGCCGCGGGCCTGTCAGGACCGTCGGGCGCATGAGTTTGATGTGATAATTCCCAGGCAGTGAACACGAGGCCCTGTGCATGTCCCCCGTCTCTGCCTCACTGCACCCCCCCCCCCCCCCCCCCCCCCCCCCCCGTCATCTGGGCTCATCTGGAAGCAGAGTATGCTTGTGGATGTGGCCTTCGGTTCGTGCTTCTGTGCGTCTGTGCATACTGGAGGGTCGATGGTAAATAAAAGATCGGCGGTCCGCGCGTGTCTGCGTGTGTGTATCAATGTGCGCATTACACATGTGTAGCTCCGACGCACCAGCACGCTGCCGCACTGCTGCTCGTCGTGGGGGAAATCAGATCAATTTGCTTCGTATCACAATGTGGTGTTCAGGCGCTGTGGCTTGACTTAAGGTTTAATGGTGTGGCGACGCAGAGTCCAAACTACACCTGCTCACAGGCTTAAGATGAGTAGAGCTGAGACTTGTGCGCTGATTTGCAGTGGGACTCGGCCTACGCGGGGGGCACGCCACTTTTCCTTCTGACAATGTATTCCCAGCTGGATTTCCTCTGTCTCATTTGGTATTCATCGGCCCGTTGGAGTTTTAAGTCAGACAGCAGAATGCCAATGGTGGATGTAAAGGGGATAACTAGAGGAGTGGATAGTTAGGCATTAAGTCTGGGATTTTGAAACCAGCGTCGTTGTGTTTCCATCTTGCTGTTCAAACTACGTTTGGGTCAGAGACTGTAGCTTTGGTCAAAACGCCACGTGTGCTGTCTCCAATTCGTAGAAAAATAGTATAACAGCTGTAAAGTAGAATGGATTGCTTTATAATCCAATCACACACGCACACACACAAAAACACGCAAATACACATAAAATGCATGCTGACGGAGTTAATTGCCAGCTGGTGAGAAAGTCAATAGTGATAGGCTTATTATTACCTTATTATGTTATATTTCGATCACTGTGCTTCTCCTTCCTTGGGGTTCTAGCAGAACTTTGCTCCTTCTAGAGACCCTGGTGTAAAACACATTTTGACAACTGTGAAATACCAATAAATATCTAGAAGGCTATCTTGTTATTAAGATGAATCAAAATTCATGGCTGCTTAGTATTCCTGCTTTTCCATTCCAGCGATGTTGCCACAGCCCCGAGCAAATGGCCATCTGTCGGTGGAGATCACAATCCAGCAGTCGGAGTCATCATTCCCTGCCTGTGCTGGTGTGTTAGGAGGGGCGGGCATTTGGTTATTGGGAGAGATCACAGCCAAGGGAAATCACAGCGTCAAAGCAGCAGGTAGAGATGTTTATTCAGGACAGTGAGACAGTGAGACAGTGATACAGATCTGTGTCCATCCTGAGAGATGTGTTACATTTATGATCCATGCACAGCGTGCCGGTTGTTACAAGTCCTCCACATCCAGCTTGTGATCCTCTCACAGAGTTTGACATGAACGGCACAAAGCCTCAGCTCCGTGGAAACAGCAGAAGCAGTTTGTTGGGCTTTATTACTACAGACCTCAATACAGTCTCTCATTTATGTATGTTCCTATCACTCTAAAATTGTTTGTCCTGAGAAATGTTTAAAAGAAAACACAGCTCTGTGCTGTCATGCTCTTTTCTCATTATGCTACTTTGCATTTTAAGCCTCTTAAATTGAGCTGTAATGAATTGTCTAGCAGCACACTTTGTTTCTTAAGAGGAGTATAGCTATGATTAGAAGGCATTACTATGACGAGTGTTCATTTAATTACTATTACAAATTATATCATAATTGTCAAACTTTTGCTGACTCCTGTTTTAATTACAGCTGGTTGCAGCCAATGTGCAGTGATCCCCGGCAAATTAAAAATCCCCTTTCTGTCCCAGTGTGCTTTAACCATCCATTTGCTGTGCCATCCTGCCCCGTAATAGCCATGGCAGATTAATTGGTGTCTCTCAGCCTTGCTGACTGCCAGGAGTAATGTGAGGGATGTTCGCCCACCTGACTGAAAATTGGACCATTTAGCTTTCTGTCATGGTTCACATAGCTTTCTCATCTTTATATCAATGCGCCCATATTAACCTAAATAACACCAGGCAACAATATGTGGCTCCCACCCTCTACTCGAGAATTTTGAGTCAGTACAGGATAAAAGATCCCAAATTTTTTTGTCAGTCAATTAAGCATCTGTCTAATATGGTTACAACTGTGTGTATGTGGTCCACTGCCCCACGGATGCAGGCCATTTCTGGCAAAGACAGACCTGGATACGCAAGCAGTTCATCAGGCACAGATGGCTCAGCCAACCATCATCACATCATTAAAAGATCACATCATATCGGACCCTGATGCTAAGGAGAAGGAAGAGATTTGACATTAAGTATAAAGTGCAAAGCATGGCTTCATGGGGTTAAAGTTTCTTTAATGATGGCCCTCCTCCTTGATGCAGTATGGGTTGTTTTCTGAATCGATGTTCTCCTAAATGGGAGCACAGTGAGAGCACAATGCAGTATTGCTGTCCATTTCAGGGTCTGGGCGAACCACAGTCCACCGTATTTTGGAGCGAGTCAACGCAGCATAGTACAAGGCTTGCTTGTGTTTACTGCTGCTTTTCTGTGGCGGCGGCGCGTGTAGTACACACATACACAGGATAATGCAATGTGAAAAGGTTGCTTCCCTAGTATGGTCCAACTGAGAATCATCACCCGAGGCTGAAGCTCTGTGCACTGCTAAAAAAACGTCTCTTAAAACGACCTTATTTAAGTCCCAGAAACAAAAAATATTCATGCCGTATTTTAAAAGATCCCCTCTCGAGCTCCAGGCCACACAAATCATTCAAGGCATCATGTCGAAGGCCATCGCCTACATACAATTCACAGTTTGGACATCCTGGACAAAATCATCTCAGTAATTATATCTAAATCATTATCGAGACGAGACATTTTACAAACTTAAATAACTGAATTCACCGAGTGTTCACATACTCCTGGCACTTTCACAAGGGGATATTTCACAGCCGTTTAAAATATTCATGGTGGCGTAGGATTAAGTTGGTTATCATCTCATCTCTGTTCACTGCTACTGTGCCCTTAGGTTTGTTAAGCTTCAGCATCATTCTCAGATTTAAAAAGTGTTGAAACCAGAGTGAAAATGTGTGACACGCAGACACTATGTGCCATGACAGATCGGAGGAAACAGGACTTTACTGTCATTGAACTATTACAAACAAGTTGGGCAACATTCAAACTTTTATGGGATGTATTTACGTATGACACAGCAGAAACCAGTGACAGGTAAAAACAAGCTAAATGTGACCTTGTGCATCAGTGTCTACTGTGTCTGCTTCCCGTCTCAAATGTAGCTCCAATAAGTACAACCAGCGCCGAGGGGCTAATTAGTGGAGCTCACCTGTGTGTGTGCAGCTCTCTCAGGTAGACTTCTGCTACTTCCAGCTAGACTGTTTAGTGCAGATGTCTTGTTTCAAGTTACTTTCCTGCTTACACTGAACTTGATTAAAAAGCTTCTGACTCTACTTGACTCCTCATAAACTCGCAGTGTAAACTGAATATTTGTGACCACGTTTTCTGTCCCAGATAAAGTATGAAAACTTCCGCCTCCGTGTTGGAATTTTTGTCAGCGGGTCATTATTGATTTTGGGAAATCTCCTCCATGACTTGATCTTAAAAAGTAGTTTTGCACAGCTATTAGATCTGGATATTTTATCAAGATTAACGGTATTTAGCCAAAGCGTAGATTTTTACATATTGCAATTAAACATTCCCACTGTCTCCCGGCACTTTATGGGTGCAGAGAAAAGCTGTGATTACTCCCAATGAGCTCTGCGGTTCTGGCTCCGCCGGTCCACACTCAGGAAGCTGCACTAATTAATCAGTTGCTTGGCAACATCTGGCCATGTGCTTGATTTATGGAAAACAGTAACACCTGTTATGGTGGGACATGAATGGGTGGAGGTTGAGTTATCACGCAGCCCGTCAGGCCCTCTGTTAAAAAACGTCCTATTCGACACCGGCATAAAATCATTAAACAGGACATTTATTAAATAATACTTACGAGCAGGAGAAAGACTTCACAAACGTACAAGTCCTGCGTCAAGACAACTGAAAGGTAATCTTCTCCAGCACCAAAATATATAGCTGAAAGATAACATTATAGTTTTGCACCACACGTCACCAGGAGCTCGTCTTAAGCGCATCTTCTATCAGCTGACCTGACGTACACAGTTAGCATTGTTAGAGGGTACAGACACTCGGCTGTCCTAGAGGCCCTGCTGACTACGACATGACGTTAATGCAGTTTTTCCAGCACCCTCTCACACTGTTTACACATCTGGCAGCAGATTTGAGCTTGACTGGGACATTTACATATTAAGGCCTCTGGATTTGAGCAGCTGATTTGTTTTATATTGTAAATGAGCACAATGCCCTCAAGGATGTTTCAACTCCAGCCCTATTTTTATAAAAATTACTTCATTAGATCTCACACACACACACACACTGCACAGCCATTATTGCGAAAGAAAAAGCGTGCAAAACATTCATGCGTGTACGGATAAGATAAATAGAGGCTTTCTGCCTGCATAAATATTTCCCTCACATCTTCATTAATCCCCCGTATTATAGTCAAACAAAGCTTAACTACAAAGCAGAGATTTCCAGTGGGTTTCTCCAATTATTGTCAAGCGCTGTCCTGTTTTTCCCCAAATCCTCTGGTAGCTTGCTTGTACCTGTAGGGACATGGCCGTCATCCAGGGAGCCGTGTTGCTTCACATTTTGCGGACCGTTCCCTTGGCATGTGTCTGTTTGTACAAAAACCAAAAAAAAGGACAAAAAAAGAAAGCGTCTGTGGCATCTGCATGGCACTCAGCCAGCTCATTCCAAACAATTGGCTCTTCACCTGCAGTTTTGACATCTATGTCACCTCTCAGAAACCTCAGAGTGACACACTGCTGAATCTGTCAGCTGATCCGAAGCTGTGTTTCCTGTTTCTATATTAGGCCCGGTGTGTGTTCTAAATTCTTCTAAACTTCTAAAT